GAGACAGTGGTGGTAGTTGTTGTAGTTGTGGGGAAGCTGCTGCAGACTGACGGGCCGCAAGGCTGATCACCATCTTGACAAACAGCGACGTGGAGCCACCATTTGCAATATGATATCCTAGTGCCATATAAACCATCATTCAGCGATCGGCAATAAGCATCACAGTTGTCGCTCGGGCCCGTATGATCGTCAGGAGGAGCGGCAGTTGTAGGAGGATCACCAGTGGGGCACTCCGACGGGCGACACCGCTGATCACCTCCTTGGCAAACAGGCTCAGGTTTCCACCACTTGCAGTATGAAGATGGGCCGTTAAGACCAACGCAATAGGCGTCACATGGAGCAGACTGGAATGGGTGGCCCCCGGCAGCAGTTGTCGGATCAACTGGAGGTGGCCAAGTCTGGGACTCACACATGCTATGGTCACTGCAAGGCTGATCACCAACTTGACAGACGGGTACCGGTAACCACCACTTACAGTAGGAGGCGGCGTCGTTGAGGCTCCTGCACATATCATCACAAGCTGTGTTGGGCCCCGAAGGAGCCGATGTAGCCGGGATGGGTGTGGAGACCTGCAGCTGTCGGATATTGTATGAGGCCACAGTAGGGATAACAAGAGCAACGCCGATGATGGACATACTCAGTGGCTAGATATGAAACCTACAGAGATGACCATCATTGCACTAAAGAAGAGAGAATAAGGACAAAGACTTGCAAAGACAAACATCATGATGAGTTGTCCAGGCTGGATGTGACGTGTTGCCGCCCAAGGCATGCAACACCAAATTTGGAATACTTGCGGTCTGATCGATATCGTGGGGCGCGTACATACGCGAGGGAAACTGTAAGATTCGGGTCGAGAGCCTCTGCGCATCGCGAATAAGTCTCACTACGGAGATATCGTCGACGTACTCTATCGTGCCCCTTTTTGCCAGTGCCAATTGCTATGGTATCAGATAGCTTCACTATTTCGCTCCTGTAAGTTGCAATCATATTCACATTCCAGCCGGCATCAGTATGACAGTCGATACTGACATTATCGACTTTGGCAAGCAAATATTGGGAATGGCAGAAATGAAATTGTTATTGAGCGAGTGGTAGCTTTTCGCAACTATTTTACTGTGTATATGTTTTTTCCAGACTCTTCCACATAGTGGCACTTCTGTCAAGATATGTCATATCTGAACTCTTCCGTGGTTTTGGCGAAATTTCCTTATTTGCTGTCTTGAGTATGTCGCATTACAACGATGTGAGCCTGCATCATTCAAGTTTTTTTGGTATGAACTTCCTTCACCTCATCGACATTCTGGCAGTTGTCGCTGCGTTGACGAATTCGCGAACAAACCAAACGCCATGAAATCGAGTTATCCCTGTGGTGTCATTGTACCCATTCGGACCATAAGGACGAGTAAATGAGCTGACGAATAGGTTCAGTTTTGAATCTGCACCGGACAACAGATCCCGTATAACTTTCGCGCACACCACACTCGGGGGACATGAAAAACACTCTTAAGCACTACGAGACCCTTTGGGTGGCACGATTTACGTGAATGATTCATATATACGTAAGACTCTGTTCCAGAGTTATACTTAATTTCATGAAAGTGTGAATGATGCAATTGAATTGTCTCGGCATCTCCGTGGGTTGACTTATATCGAAGTAGTCGTAGCCTGAGCCGTAGTGGGCGACACAGTAGTGACCTGGAGTCCAGTGGGAGCCACAGTACTAGCGGCCACTGTAGTAGGCGAGACTGTAGTGGGAGCAACAGTAGTAGCTGCCACTGTAGTGGGGGCCGCAGTAGTAGGCGAGACTGTAGTGGGAGCCGCAGTAGTAGCTGCCACTGTAGTAGGCGAGACTGTAGTGGGAGCCGCAGTAGTAGCTGCCACTGTAGTAGGCGAGACTGTAGTGGGAGCCGCAGTAGTAGCAGCCACTGTAGTGGGAGCCGCAGTAGTAGCAGCCACTGTAGTAGGCGAGACTGTAGTGGGAGCCGCAGTAGTAGCAGCCACTGTAGTAGGCGAGACTGTAGTGGGAGCCGCAGTAGTAGCGGCCACAGTAGTTGCGGCCACAGTAGTAGGCGAGACTGTAGTGGGAGCCGCAGTAGTAGCTGCCACTGTAGTGGGAGCCGCAGTAGTAGCAGCCACTGTAGTGGGAGCCGCAGTAGTAGCAGCCACTGTAGTGGGAGCCGCAGTAGTAGCGGCCACAGTAGTAGGCGAGACTGTAGTGGGAGCCGCAGTAGTAGCGGCCACAGTAGTAGGCGAGACTGTAGTGGGAGCAACAGTAGTAGCAGCCACTGTAGCAGGCGAGACTGTAGTGGGAGCCGCAGTAGTAGCGGCCACTGTAGTAGCCGAGACTGTAGTGGGAGCAACAGTAGTAGCTGCCACTGTAGTGGGAGCCACAGTGGTAGCGGCCACTGTAGTAGCCGAGACTGTAGTGGGAGCCGCAGTAGTAGCGGCCACAGTAGTAGGCGAGACTGTAGTGGGAGCCGCAGTAGTTGCGGCCACTGTAGTAGGCGAGACTGTAGTGGGAGCCACAGTAGTAGCGGCCACTGTAGTAGGCGAGACTGTAGTGGGAGCCGCAGTAGTAGCGGCCACAGTAGTAGCCGAGACTGTAGTGGGAGCCACAGTAGTAGCGGCCACTGTAGTGGGAGCCGCAGTAGTAACGGCCACTGTAGTAGGCGAGACTGTAGTGGGAGCCACAGTAGTAGCGGCCACAGTAGTAGCGGCCACTGTAGTGGGAGCCGCAGTGGTAACGGCCACTGTAGTTGGCGAGACTGTAGTGGGAGCCACAGTAGTAGCGGCCACTGTAGTGGGAGCGGCAGTAGTAACGGCCACTGTAGTAGGCGAGACTGTAGTGGGAGCCGCAGTAGTAGCGGCAACAGTAGTAAAGACTACTGTGGTGGGAGCCGTGGACAGAGTTGAGGTGGTCGAGACAGTGGTGGTAGTTGTTGTAGTTGTGGGGAAGCTGCTGCAGACTGACGGGCCGCAAGGCTGATCACCATCTTGACAAACAGCGACGTGGAGCCACCATTTGCAATATGATATCCTAGTGCCATATAAACCATCATTCAGCGATCGGCAATAAGCATCACAGTTGTCGCTCGGGCCCGTATGATCGTCAGAGGAGCGGCAGTTGTAGAGGATCACCAGTCGGGCACTCCGACGGGCGACACCGCTGATCACCTCCTTGGCAAACAGGCTCAGGTTTCCACCACTTGCAGTATGAAGATGGGCCATTAAGACCAACGCAATAGGCGTCACATGGAGCAGACTGGAATGGGTGGCCCCCGGCAGCAGTTGTCGGATCAACTGGAGGTGGCCAAGTCTGGGACTCACACACGCTATGGTCACTGCAAGGCTGATCACCAACTTGACAGACGGGTACCGGTAACCACCACTTACAGTAGGAGGCGGCGTCGTTGAGGCTCCTGCACATATCATCACAAGCTGTGTTGGGCCCCGAAGGAGCCGATGTAGTCGGGATGGGTGTGGAGACCTGCAGCTGTCGGATATTGTATGAGGCCACAGTAGGGATAACAAGAGCAACGCCGATGATGGACATACTCAGTGGCTAGATATGAAACCTACAGAGATGACCATCATTGCACCAAGGAAGAGAGAATAAGGACAAAGACTTGCAAAGATAAACATCATGATGAGTTGTCCAGGCTGGATGTGACGTGTTGCCGCCCAAGGCATGCAACACCAAATTTGGAATACTTGCGGTCTGATCGATATCGTGGGGCGCGTACATACGCGAGGGAAACTGTAAGATTCGGGTCGAGAGCCTCTGCGCATCGCGAATAAGTCTCACTACGGAGATAGTCCAGGTACTCAACTACGATGTGGCTATTGACCATCTATCCTGGTATGCCGCATCTGCGTATGCCGACTTGCTCTTCCGGAAGAACGTACAGATAATCGAAAAAGTGGAAACTAGAAAGCCCGCTGAATCAAGTCACTGAGTCAGGAAATTAAAACGCAGCGCGTCTAGTTTTATACGTATTACAGTATTATTTAAAGGTTGATTCGCGTTATAACCTAACGTATTTCTTAATACTGTACAATAGTGACATTGTACCCCAACAGGCACCAACGGGCAACGCCTGTTCATTCGCCAGCCTTGCGCCGGAAATACTGTTAGGTCTTCGGTCCAACTCAGATCAAAGTTGTTTGATATACATTGTATTACTTTATGCATCGTACATCGTGACCTAACCAATAGTCTAAAGCTGTTGCCTTTATTCCAGTTTAGATTGCCAGTATAGTAATACGATCAGCTATGCTCTTCCTAACTTGAGACTTCCATTAATGAGGGATTAACATTGAAGCTCAAATGTCATCCTTCGATGTATTGTTGGATTTTATCGGCCTTCGCCACTGTCTATATGACACTGAAGAATTCCAACGAGCAATTGAGCTTCCTGGGAGGAGATTATCTCTTGAGCTCTTTCCGTGGTACTCATGTATAGCAAGGTCTGTCCGAATCTTAGCGACATGATCGAATGAACATCATCAGGCATTTGCTCGAGCATCTCTCTGATGGGTTATTAACAACAACAACAATTCAACGCAACTCCAGCACACGTTGAAAAAGTCAGTCTACGCGAAACTATCAACAATACCACGAACTTCTTTAACCAACTCGTCAGCTTCTGTTCCATCACAGAGAGTATTCGCCGTTTTCACCTGTGAAACCATCAGCATCGCGATAGCCACAAAACTTACCGCAAGCTCATCAGCCATAACTAAGAACAGTTCCAACAAATCCCCATCGACGAATCCTGATGGGTCTAATGCACCACCGCTACTCGGCAGCGTGCTCGAGTCAATCGACCGGAAGAGCTTCCAATCGACTCTAGCGTCAACAGAAGGGCTTCCAGAACCTGAGAGAAACACGCATATAAACAAAACACAGCGGATTCGTCAATTTCCTCGTGTGAGAGGAAGCCTTCTCTTCCGCCTAGAAGCATGATGGAAACATGCCATCGCGAAAACGACTTCAACATCGCCACTCCACATCGTGGAAAAACAGACAAAATTTGTGTGTGCAGTATTTCTTTCTCAAGTATCTCCTAGTATAGCATACGGAGCTATACCGCAACATCCACTTTCGCGCTGTGCATGCGTACACAATTATACAGTCTCAGCTACCACATCAAATGTATCACTGTGGTCCTACCACACCAATTCCCAAATCAGACTAAGATCGCTCCGTTAAAGGGAAGACGCCGAGATAAAAAATGGCGGGGCCCGGAATTGAACACGGGGCCTCACTAGACCGACGGGGTCCCTGCCGCGTTACTGATTATTGATGCAGAATGAATCTTTCACCACAAATCCCTACAAATTTTCATATCAGTTTTTGCATTTTCGAATTACAATTAACATCCATTATAACAACCAAGGCCTACTCTGTTGATGGATATTTACTGCTATGGCATGCTGAATCTGCAACATCCTTCCAATACCCGTGTCATCAATACCCTTCAACGACACCACTGCTCCCTCGATCGTACAAAGGAGGTACTGAAAACCAGTCTTGGAAGAATACATGTTCGCTTTCCAGAGGCTGAGCCCAGACGTTTCCTCACCACCTAGTGGAAGTTCACATACGAATTCGGGTAGAAGTGTACAGAACTCATTGCGAACTTCCTCAATTTTTCTTCGGAATTTCCACAAATGTCACCTACACATGTAGTTGATTATGTACATATTTCTTCACACCGCTGAAAGCACTATTCCCCTCCATCACTCAAGGCACTAACCTCATCACGATGTTCTCCGTTGGAGCCTCGACTCGACGGCGGCATTGTAGAACTTAACATACCGGGACGGATGCAATTAACGAGAAGACCGAGATGCAGCTGACCAACCGTCTGAAACGAATCACTCTTCATAATCTACCAAAAGTCGGCTACTTCACCTGAAGGGAATATCCGCGAGAATCTGAATGGCTACCACCGATCTCTTTTTGCCTGAAATCGAGAGTAGAAAAGCAACGAATCAGCCAGCTTACTTCTCCATAATGAAGAGGTTAAATCGATCATCAGCAACCAGAATATTCCCATTCGACAAAAACTGAATAGCTGTAGGCCACAAGGGGAATTCGTATCGAGCTGTAAAGCACTCTCAACGACATTGCCACGATTAACCTACCGAGCTCCGAAATCGTAGAAGTTTTCGAATCGAATTGTAACAGCGTCACCCCTCTCGTCATGTCACCAATCACCACCGTTCTCCTAGCAACAAATACAGTGGGGAGAAGAAAGCGACATAGAATAACTCCGATGTAATATACTCAACATTCACCTGCGCACTTCTCACGATGAAGGGCCTACCCTCGAATTTGCATAAAAATAGATGCAATATGGAGGTGGCGTTTCGTGACAAGGCCGAGCCTGAGCGCCCCATCCGACTGCTGCTCTACCGCGTACACTTCCAGTACGTTATTCACCGTACCTACTTCACCGATAGCGACCAAAAAAATTACGGAAAATTGTCCCTTACAAAGTAGGAAAATTCCACGGTTTTCGGCATCGACCATAGATGCCATCTGGTAGGGAACTCCCTCGACCTCTACTGTAGCCACTTGTTCGCAGACTTCTGCCTTGGAGCCGCTCAGGAGAGACGCTGTTGGCTGAACGAAACTCGAGAGTTTACATTACTCCTTTGCAAATTACAACCCCTAGGGGCGTTTTTAAGTAGAAAATTTCAATAAAATTTTACCATAACTGATGTAAGATAGTCGCGGCCTAAATTTTGATAGAATATTGCATCGATGAGAATAACCATCCAACATGCACCACGATGATGGTGCCGTTATCGCTCGTGGACAACGGGAATACAGATTGCCCCATTGAAAGCGCTCGCCAAGACCTCTCTAGTCAGCTTTCTCTCGCTGGGAAATCCGAATTCTGCACGTTACAGACAATAAAACAGTTTATTTTGGGCACGTTGCATATTCCCTCACCGAACTTACATCGATTCTATACACTTTGACAAACCCCTTCGAAGGCTCCGCCTCGTCAGTCTCCGATCGTCCTGCCATTGCTGGCACCACACATGAGCCCACACAGAGATATCTGATATCAACAGTGAAGATAATAACGACCGAATCATCATCCACCACCCCCTTACACTATGCCGCTGTCCTCAGCATCTCCAAGATTGAATGTGGCTAAGGAAACCACCTATATGAAAAAAACATACCAGAAGAATTCCAGCGCTCGAGAGACTATCAATGGCAATGCTCCACAAGATAAGTACAATGACAGAACTGCAATCATCTGTTTCGTTTTCTACCACTGTACACATCTGATGCTCGCACTTTTATTAAATCGATTATGTTAACGACGTATGTAACGCATTCACAAAATGTAACATAACAAGCCTATCCCAGTAGCAGGTATGAAATCCCCTACGACCCTCCAAACTCCCCCTTCCTCACCTCCACAGTGCTCTCCTCCTCCTCCTCATCATCATCAGCAGGCATGTCCACATCCTCCTCAGCTGGGATACAGTAAATCTCTCGTAGACTCGAGCCGTTCATCAAACGCTGAAAAATTACATACCATCATCACCACCACAACCAGCAACAACAACTCACCACACTGCTCGACGACGACGCTCCCCTCCTATTGTTGTTATCAGACCTACAGTAAGGAGAACCTATAGGCCAGCAGTTGCCATAGACGACATCACATACGTATTTTCCTTCCCTTTATCCTCATTCAGCCGTTCCTCTATCGTAATAGTCGATACTGCATACATATCACCAGTCACATGTTCAACATGCATTGCCGCTTGCCCTGTCATCACCAACTATCGAACTCTCCAACTCTCCAACACCACTGCTCTCACCTTCCCCAACAGCTCTTCGTCTCGTCTGGAATTCACACGGCTCATCCGTACTCAGCGAGGCGAATACCAAAGACGGCTGAAACAAAAACAAAATAAATAAGGTAAACAGCACCGCAATGAATACCAAGTTACTCCGCACCTCTACTTCAGAATAAACGGTCAATGGGGAATTAATTCCGATATTCCCACCGTTTTATCTCAACCGTGATAAAATCACCCAGAAAAAATGCCCACAGGAAGCGACTATTCCTCACCTGCGACGTCATCAACGCCATCACCGCCACGTGACTGTCCTTTTGGCCAGCACTCATCGCAAATGCCCTTTCCTCTCCAAATTCAACAGCGCACTCAACAGCGACTCCTCCCTGCAATGGGTTCACATTCCTACACATCAGCTCAGCCCCTTCGTCATCTGCTGTCAGGAGGTACGGGTATGTACCTAATAATAATAACGGCACCAGCCATATAAGAGCAGGCTATCACAACAGAAATAATACAAATTAAAAAGGTACGACGGAAGAATCAAAGCAAACATCAAATTGTCTTTCCCCACTAGAACGAGATTTGGCCATAGTCAAGCTCGATGATGAGGAATTCAGTACTAACCATCAGAGCTCACCTCTCACGAACAACCCATTGATCGACGGTAACTTCGACAGGCTTATCGGACGGAAGCCACCAACATCAATGACCTACAGGAAGGAGAGAGAGCATACAAAACCTACGATGTCGAAAGACTGGTCAAGAAGTTCATGATAGTAATAATTGTTGAGCGATGGACACCATGATCATCAGTATGGTTTGCATTACGATAAAGTGGGATGAACTCCGCAGAAGACCCAATGAAACCCATTCAGAAAATGTACCAAAACATACAAAAAAATACTTTGTATTTTAGTCGGTATACCATATCATGTATCAAGGCATCAATTATCGCCTATCATTCCCGCAATCCTCGCAACAGATTTTAACAAAAAAATAGAAGAAAATTTGACCCTAGCCTCCCAAGAACGCTTGAACAGTACGAGCAATTCTATCCGTTCACTTCTCAACAACAGTATGAGAAAATACGCACATGCTCAACTTCCTGTGGTGGTCAGAATATGAGAATTGTGAGGAAATTTGGAAAATTCCCACCTCCATTCGAATTCATATATAAACTCCTATATTTGATCATAAAACTCCTCAACTCAGCGAGAGGAAGGGAACAAACATTCCTCAGAACAAACCACTGCCCACCTGAATTTTCCATCCCCGTTCTTCTTCCGTACACTCCAACCACACCATAATACGCCCGTCACCGAGGCCACACACAACCACTACTCCCACCTCGGCCGCCGAACTCATACCAAGCGATCTCCTCGATGTCACTACTATCGACCTATTAGGAACACGGGATGACCAACCCAACCATCAAAATGCACAACCTACCGTGTCACCGAAGATTCAACTCTCGAACTTCCCAACGGTATCTAAACAATATACCCGTATACAAGTATTATACTTCTACTCATATTTTAAAACTGAATTGGAAATCATTGGAGTTTCACTCTAGTGATATGAAAAACACTAGTGAAAAGTATATTCCACGACTACTGCATGTCACCACGAATATCGCGTTTTTCACATGTCACCCGTGAAACGGGTGAAACTCCAATGTATTTCGGCTGAGAGGCCAACTAGTCGAGCCAGGTACAACTATTGGTAAGAAAAGGAAGAGCGCAATTTTATCCGACCATGTCTACTCCGACAATGGAGTTTCACCCTAGTGATATGAAAAACATATTTCACGACTACTACATGCCGCGAGTATTGCGTTTTTCACCACTTCACATAAAACGGATGGTAGAACTCCAATATATGATGAATACGATTTTAATATTATATACAGTGCGAGTCTAATGCAAAGTAATATTTTCAACGCCTTCATATTTTGAATAATATCAACATGATAACAATGTGAATCGATTGACACCAACGTTTTACAAGCGTTCTATACTCTTGAAGTAAGCCATCTCGCACACCTGTTTGCTCCGCACCATATTGGCTCCTCACCTCAAGAGGAGTTCGGAATCTTCCTCGACCTTTTCTGTTTCCTATTTCCTTTAACATCAGCTTCCCCTGTGATGATTCTTCACCCACACTCGGCCACAACCCGACCGCCAACATGCTCGAACTAGAGTCGTATGCCACACATGACACTCCAACCAACGACCTAAAAGATGGCCATTTTCGGACCTCATTCGTATCTTTATACACGCGACCTAAGATACGCAATACATGCCACCTACTTCCCAAAGGAAACCTCAGTAGTTTCCACCCTCCCCCTATCCTTCATCTGACGTATCCAAGCTCGCCCTGGCCAAGATACAAAGTAGGCCCACTAACATACCACTGCTTCACTCACCACAATCATCAACTGTCACCACCGTGTCACCATCACCAGTAGCAGCTACGAATGACCGTCCATTCTCAACCTCATCCGAGCGAACCAGGACTGGTGGGGAAGACGATACGTCAACCCATCGGACCTGAAATTTGAGATTTTTTTAGAGAATGTAAATTATCGAAAAATTTTAAATTTCCCTCATTTCTCATCTCAAAAATACGAAAAATCGTCTTCACGAGATTTCATTTTTCAAAAAAATCCAAAAAAAATTTTATGGATTTAAAATATCGGAAAATTTCCCCCAATTTTCCAGAATCATCGTATCGAGACGATCATCTCGAAAATATGGAAAATCGTTTTCACGGAATTCTCCTTTCCAATTGGAAGTTCAGAAAAATTTATTAAACGGAAATTACCTGAAGATTCGTCGCTCATCTCAAAAATATGAGAAAATAATTTTCACCAAAAAATGTCACCATCCCTACCGCTCCTTTTGAAACTTGTACGACGAGATTCGACACTCCGCCACACCAAATCGAGGGCTCATCTATGAACACATCAGAGAAGTCCAACGTAACTGATGATGACGACGATGAGTATTCCTCCAAATTCAAGACGACATAGTAGAGAGCATCCTACCCAGCTCGGATTCAGTGCTCTCCTCCTCCTTCGTGACGAATGTACAAACCACCGTTGTTGTTGCCAATGATTGAACCTCAGCATAATACTCATTTACAATCATATTTCACGCGAAACCACAACTTCACATATTTTCGTCAATGTTGGGAAAAGTATATGTTCACTTTCCTCAGCCGAGCTCAGGAATTTCTTCACTAATTACAGAAGTTTACACATGAATTCGTGTACAAAAACCAATAAAAATTTCCAAAAATTTCCCCAAAATTTCCATTTCTTCACCAACGCGCATATTTCCCCGCAGTTCTTATCAGAAATTAGATTTTCACGAAACTTCTCACCAAAAGAGACGATCCTCTTGGCAGTCCAATACTCCACATCATCGACACACTCGGCCACTCGACACTCCCCAACTCCTTCATCCTCAAACCACATCTAAGGGCGCGTATCTACCACACGGAGAGATGATAAAAACTACGCCTCATAAAAACAAGTTTTCGTCTAGATGTTTAAAACGCTGAAAATGATCATTCAATGAAGGGTTGTAAAAATAAAGTTATTATTTCATCGATTCAGCCTACCAAGGAATGTTCATTCCAAAGAAATCTCCGACTGGCAACAGACATGTGACAAACTTGAAGTCGATCCCACTGGTGTGAAAGTACTCGATATTATATTTGTCATCATCGGGTCTATTCCGAACAACCCATGATAACACGTGAATCAGAAATAGTGAAAACAGTGTGGTAAAAATTGCACATGGTCATCAACCACATGTGTTGGTGATGACAATATGAAAATTCTGAGAGGAAATTTGTGGGAATTATTGCTGGTTCCTGTGGACTCCGACCCCAACTCGTTCATAAACTCCTATGATCAGCGAGGAAATTCATGAGCTCAGCAGCTGAGGAGAGCGAACATATATTACAACACGGAGTTAAAATATTTCCGCATATTATTCTCTTTTTATATCGACATTCACTCTAAGCATATAAACACACTTTTGCCTTACCGATGAAGCCTCACTTCGACCCGTGACCATGAGCAAGTCCCGCCCAGTGTTAGCAGGTAATTGGAAATCCAATATCGGCGATAGTGATAACTCCGCATGGCTGAACAGAGAACGAGGATATACCCGAGATCATTCCCCGGCAATATCGATGGACCTCGACGGTTTTACTCGGGTAAAAACATCGCGAAATAATTTTCTCCCTCAGAGTATCGTACTAGTTATTTCACACCAACAACGATATAAAACGATATCGGCACTGATATCTTCGATACACTTCATACAAAGAAGTGCGTGAAAAACTCCGATTTCGTTACGATTTTCCCCACTTCCCTTACATCGTTCGCACATATGATGCCGTATCAAGATAAGGCTCCGGCTGAATCCAAAAACATCATCCCCCATGAATGCAGCATGAACCAACTCACGTAAACCCTGCATAATCGATGTGCATCCCCAGCGTCACTCGCCACAAAAATAAGTTCCCCTCCCAGCAACACAGCCACTGCTGAACTTGCTCCTTCCGAAACTACTCCCAGGGTCTGAAAGTAATCACCTTGGAGTTTCACTCTAGTGATATGAAAAACATATTTCACGACTACTGCATATCACCGCGAATATCGACTTTTTCACCAAGTTTTACGCCATTTCGCGTAAAACGGGTGGTGAAACTCCATCAAACGAAGCCATTTTAAGTTCCAAAATAATCAACTTCAAGATTCGCCACTGAAAAATTCCGAAAATTCCCCATAAATAAACCCTTGCGTTTTCCTACCTCCATTTCCATCCCATCTCTTCCACTGAGATCACCCCGCACCTGATAACGAGACTACAACACTACCAAGTCGTACTCAACTAGTTCAACTACTTGGTCAATGGGGTTCACCCGTTTTACACCAACTGGCGTAATACTCTGTGTGAAAAACCGCGATTTTCGCGCTATGCAGTTATTTGTAAAATGTGTTTTCAACTAGTATTTCTCATATCACTAGGGTGGAACTCCATTGCAGACTTGCATATTTACAAAAGCTTGATGCACTTTATAACGTGGGTATGATAATAACAACCGTTTTTCACAAACTTGCACAACTTCGATAATGCCGTATCACGCACAGTGTTGCGTCTTCACGACCAACCTTCACCTTAGTTTCCCGTCTCCTCTTCCCCGCATTCCCCTTCCTCTTCCCATCATCAACATAATGACGACTTCCGCTACCACCACTCGCCGACCTAAGCCGACCAACCATCATCACACACATATCGATCATCTTAAAGTCACCACCTGTGCAAGACATGTAGCCACCCTTCATCATCAACTATGAACAACCTCCCTATAGTGCCGCCCACACATACCTACAAAGTCGACAAGATCTCTCATATTGCTCAATATCGATTACTAGGGCGCGCGCGATATACTTCTCACATTATTAATGGAGTTTCACCCTAGTGATATAATAACACCAGTGAGTAACATATTTCACGACTACTGCATATCACCGCAAATATTGCGTTTTTCACCGAGTTTTACGCCACTCCACGTAAAACGGGTGGTGAAACTCCAATAATTTAACAAATTATCATCATCTGAAAAATCATTCACTAATCATCCGAGATAATGTGTTTTTTCTTTGCCACATCTCTATGATTACCATAATAACAACTTTCATTATTTACGCATTTTTTACGCCCGTATGACAAAACTTAATCTCTTCCTCTTAAAAGAAAAAATACGAAAAATACCAAAGCAATAAAATAAAGAAGCCCAAAAAATACCCACAAAAATCGAAAAAAATCCGGAAAAAAACTTACCCTTCTCATCAGTTTAGTTGTTATGTAGTCGCTCCTCACCTCCCCATCATCAGCCTGCGCCATACCATATCGGCTGATCGTGCGAGGGCCTGCACCAACAAGGCATCCAACGCTCACTTTCCTCAGCTGAGTTCCTCAGCTTTCCTCACTAATTATAAAAATTCGTGCAAAAAGTGCACAAAAATCAATTCTCTGATTTTTTTCACAATTGCCATCCACACACGTAGTTAACCACGTCCATATTCTCCCTACCGATAGCAACAATTTCCTGCCAGGACAACGCTAATATACGCCGCACTCGGCGCTCGCTGACGTCTATTTTAGGATACTCGTTCTGAGACGCCTGAAAGAGAAAACTGCCGCTGATTTTGATGAAAATATCGAATAATTTTCCCATAAAATCGATGAAAAATATCAATAAAATCACATAAACCAATAAATATTTGATGAATAATTTTCAAAATCTATTTTCTGACGAGAAAACGAACACAACGTATTATCATTTCACCAACCACAACATTCTCACTAAAGCACTCACCACTTCAAGGGTTTTCTCCTCCAGATCCAAATGGAAAAATAATATTTTTAATTCTCGCGATATAGGTTCCTCACTAACAAGTACCTGTCAAGCCGCTGACAAGCGTCAGACTACTCTACATCTCACCGCGATATTAACACATCTCTTATTTTCCCCATCTTTCGGTGGCATAATACACATATCAATCGCCTGAGTTCAAAGCCATACCACACCTCCGACACTTTTCCACCCCACATCAGGAACGCTGTCCATCCTAAACGCTTGCCCAGTCGAGGACGTTCTTTCCCCCTCCCGATTTTTCGATTCCAAAATGCTGTCAATATCCATCACGAAGAGTTGCCCTCGAAAGAGGTGTGTCTAAAATGGACCTAATCCGTATCTTACCAAGAGGAACCTAAGATACTCACCGCAATGATACCGCTCTCGTCGTCGTAACAAACTGTATGCGACGCACGCAGACAACTATCAGTTGTTGGGTATGGCTGAAAAACAACAATAGCTAATATCGATCACATGATCGATTTGGCATCATAAAATACATAATTCCAATATCAGTCGAAAACAGCTTTTCTTATTCTTTTCTTCTGCACAAAAAATTTTAAAATTTTCCCAAGAAAATTAGTTTCCACAAAAAAACCGACCTTTTCCGAAAAAAAATCCCAGTAAAAATCGTCGAAAAAAAATTCTCCTTTTTTCCTCGACTTACATATAAATTTGCCAACATCCCAGAACACACCGGAACCAACTCAGTGGTCGGATCAGCTCGAAATCTCCACAAGGCGAACTGCCGCTTGGCTGTTGTGAAATAAATAAATTCGCTGAGGGAAAGTGATGGATATTTGGTAATACGACGAAAAACTACTCATACGTTTAAAACAATACTGGAGTTTCACCCGTGATATGCAAAACACTAGTGAAAAACACTTTTCACAGGCGAAAAACGCGTAAAACACATGGAGTTTTTCACCCACGTTGTATAGTTCGGGGGGTTGTCACAGGTGAAACTCCACTGTATATACTTCTATCACCTACAAGTTAGTACTCGTGATATACAAACACACGCATATTTTTCTCATATTTTTCTCAGAAATCGATATGAAAAATTTTCCCAAAAATTTTTCATATCGATTTCTTCCTCAACAACAACTTTAACACCCTTCATCATACGAATTCTTTAGACCCCTCCCGGACCTCATCCGAATCATACCATCGTGAACCTAAGATATTCCCACCTACTCTCGAATAACTTCCATCACCATCAGCCTGCCCATCACCGGCACTTCCAACAGCGGTCCATTCTCCATCACATCAGCAGACTGACAAATCTTGAAATCTTACCACCACTTGCATTTCCTCAACTCACCGCCGCCTCAAAATCCTCTCCGCCAACTTTCCCAAATGGACCGAAAATTTGAATCTGAAAAATCAAAGAAAAACATTCCAGCATTCCATTATTGCGCGAAATACTCCGAAAAAGTCTCGAAATCACGCACGATTATCTCATTACCCTGCTAGCCACACGGCCAACCACGAGGTATTTTCCTTCACAAATCGCCCTAGCCGATACCACTGCTGTAGAGGGTTGCAAAGTAGAAAGATAAAACGCAGATCCTTTAGTCGGTTCTTCTGCCGCGTCAGATGACGAGGCCTTCATAACAACATCTTCACTCGAGGGCGATGATGAAGTTGAAGACATTAAATAGATTCAATGGAGTTTCACCCTAGTGATATGGAAAAAATAATAAAAAACATTTCTCGCGGAGATGATTTCTCGACCGCGTGAGTATATAAAGTATAATTTCGTGGCGCGTGAAAAAATCCCCCCAGCAAATTTCGTCACCACAGCACAACGCCCATATCCCAGAAACTTCTCATGCTCAATGGGACCTCAAAGGCGCCTGTCGCATCCCACTAGCCGCCAACGCTCTCATCAAAGTGGGCGATAGTCCAAACCGTTGTTCATCCTGTCTATGCAGCCTAAGGGCGTCGGTTCGATTCCCACACCCTTTATTTCGCCCACCTGCTCATATCGCAAAATTTTTCCTCGTATTTTTTCTCATCAATTTCCGTCCGCGGCAATCTCGAGTAACCATACGGCGTGAGATGAGAGGGTCTCAAGAAGCGAGTGCACACAAACGGCTGCCGAATTAGAATCTAAACTCTATCAATGTCCCCAATACAAATCGATAATGAGTTTATTTATTTTATATACCACACCATCCGTAACTCGTCCCACCCGGAAAAATTTCGCTCAGAATTATCACGCCCCGGAATAAATCGTCAAAAAATATGCACGGAAAAAGTCCAAAATCAGCGTCCAGTGAATCGCCACATGGCGATCTCAAAAATGACTACGACAATTTCCGTAGTTAGCGTTGATACCACACCACCGGCAACTCGTCTTACCGCCCACATCTTCTTCTGCTCAATCGCCGTTCTATCTCTATTAGTAAAATACCGCGACACCCTCGTCCACTTCCTCCTGTATATGTTGAATACCAACTTATTGATTCTTCGCGCCCTCAGAAGGGGCTGGGAGCGTTGGAACATTTTATCACAAGTAGGCCAACAAGAACAAAATTCATTCATTGGCCCTTGAATCCAACATTAATTCGGATCGAATAATAGCAAATTCGACAAGGTGAACAACAACAACAACAATGAAAATAATCGACAAAATACCATAAAGTCGTTGCTAGTCAGATTTTCATGATTTTTTTCGGACGAAAAAATATTTTTCAACCGAAAAAATGCAGTTTTTTTTACAACAGTCTTCATAAAAATACCAGTTCTTTCGTCAATCGAGACTTCACCAGGGCCCACGTGATTGAAAGAGTTTCATCCCACTTTGAAGTTGCCAATCCACCGAACTGACGAATCAAAAACTCAACCAAAGAGCCACACAGTAAAGCCAGTTAGAAACAATACATCGCATAATCTACCAATTTTGTGGCGCAGTGACACTTTCGTCTCCACCACTCAATGCAATTTATACTTCGACTACTCCTTCCTGCAGCGCGCCGGTGGCGAGCACATCTTCCTTCAACAACGACGGATACTTCGTCTGGGCTTCTCGATACAGTCGAGTCTCGAGAGGTTCCTAATATCATAATCGATCACGTGATCGATTACACCTATCCTGCTTACAAACGGCTCGGAAATACTCCACCGAAGCATTGCCTTCGCACTAGGACACGAAACAACGCTCAGTTTCGCTGTCTGTGCCTGCCAACATCATCTATGCTAGAACAACCCCACTCAGGAAAGCTAAGAGAAACGGTACAAGAAACTTGATATTCGATATGATTTTAAATCACATCCCCAAGAGAGTAAATCATCGTTATTAAATTATCCGAAACGTGATATTTCTCCGCAGAAAATTACATCAAGAACATTCATCATCAGCGACATACTGCCATAAAACCTACCGGTTTGAAATCGAGACACTCGTCCACAACTCCTCCCTTCACCACGCCACTATCCTCAACCGTCCAACGCTGATCAGCATCGAACTGGGCCGAACAAGACGATCTGAAAAACGAATTTCCAATTACAAAATGTTACGACCATTGAAGCTCTGCCAAACTTGGAGATGATCAAACACGGACGGAAATTCCAGATTGGATCGCCGGGCATATAACGTCAACAGATGGCTCTCAGATGTCAATGCTACAAGTCATATGCGTTGTCAAAGACGAGAACGCGATCAACACCAATCAACCCCTACACAGCAACCTCTCCCTCTCTATCGGCCTGTAGACACAAAGAAGTCTCCGTATTGATGATCCTCGACAATCCCTGGTCTTCATATCGCCATCTCTGGGATGAGGAGGATCCACATGCGGCCATCTGAACACATCAACGATACAAAACGCGCACGACGGAGAATTCGATGAGATTTCCGTCTGCGTTTCCAGGAATTCGCTAAGAAAGTTTGCCGCCCCTAGCGGTCGCGAAGACTGTACCGCAGCTATATCCCGATACACTAGTGCTACAATCAGCTGCGAGAAACAAAACTATAAGGTGTTTGTCAGCAACATGTTTATCATCGCAAGAACGTTATCGTGCCTCACGCTTCGCCCAAGTGCCTTCATCAGTCAAGCTTCACCATCGTCTCAGTTTTTCGAACAACAAGTAATAAAGAGTAATCGAGTTTCATCCACAGTGTGACTTCAAATACTCGGCATGCCGCCACAATGTGCTTGACGGTGGGTAGTGAAATCTTGTTGAATAACACCATAGATTGGTTCACCTCCGAACACCGGAAGTCGTCGCAGGGTCTGATCTTGTCCGCCTTGTCAACAGTGAAACGCTTGCAGCATCCCACTACCGTTCTAGTAAGAGAGGCTCACTTTCATTGCCTTCCGAACCACACAGCAAAGCGTCGACTCTTTATTCTTTCTTCCCTACCTGACGTACTCTGGTGTGCAGAGAAGCAATAGCGTGTTGGTCCAACAAATTAATAGTGCTTCGCATTGCGAAAGCGATTCTAGATCCTGATTTTAGTCGCCGCTCATGTCCACCTTGCTCGATCACGCATGATCCACTCGCTGAAATTCGGCCCCTTGCAAAGCGTCCGCCAGCTTAGTATCGAGCATTGGAATACGGAGGAACTTGTTTATAAAGGCCACAAAATAGTCGACATGTTATCGCACGTCACAGCATGGCCATCAAACGCTCCTCTTTGGTAAAGCCAATAGGTATGGGGAGCCACAGCAACAAGACCGAGTACAGCACGACAAGGAGCATCAATCCCTGGTTGAGTGGTTGGTCTTGGTTGAATGAACCACACCAAACAACTCCACGCAACCAAACAACCAGAAATTCACGACGTGCGAAGTGCAGGACCTTCGACACTAGCGCAGATAGGACCATTTTCCGGTGAAGGGAAGGGAGCAATAGCTGCCGAAACAGCATCGGCTAGAATGTGACGAAGAGTAGAAACCTCCAACCCGGAGGTAACTACTCATGTCATTGAAATGTACACTTTTCAAAGTTTTCCCGGGAGGACAATCACTCGAAAACATAGGAACCCTCTAAACTTGTCCTTGCTACCATGACGTCATAACTCCATGATTGTGAATCATGGGGATAAGACCGCCACGCTCTGAGTATGACACGTGAAATTCATCCTGGATACATTTCACGATGATTCTACCAATCTTCGCGATGAGTACTTACCACGACGTGATGATCCTCATCAACATCCAAACACCATCCGCCATCCCGTAGTGAGAATTCGGCCTCAGAACCTGAGATACGTCACAAAATCGATCACCCGATCGATTTCGAAGTATCCTCCCATCTGCAGAGCGCCTTCGCCAGAGGCTTACCAATAGTCTCCCTCGTGAACTTCTGACCGTATTTGGGAACTCCATCAGTAGTCGCACAAGTTTTATAATGAACCTATCAAATATTCCTGATAGAGATGAATCACACAAATTACTGCCACTAATTTACTGCATGGAATTGAAAAGAAGCGAATAATAATTTACCCCCATAACCATAACAATATATCGCAGCAGTCAATCTGCGAGACACTATCGTCAACCTCAGATACTCATCCTCGTTCACATATACACACTCCCGCCTCTCAAACGAAAACCCATATTATAACGAGATTAATTTTTATGATGATATTCGTACCACTCCATCGGAGAAACTCCAACTTACCCTCCGAGTAGTCCTCGCGCCAACTTGTACCGATATACATTTCGACTCCTCGAATTTTATCATCGACCCCAACTCCGATACCGTATCAGAGAACGTCCACTCCTGGTTATAATTCCTCATCTGATCATCATACCAAATCGATCACCAGGGCGCGCGCTTACGCTCTCACCTTTGGGTTATAGCAAGTATACACCACCAATTTCGTCCCCGAGGAACTGTCAGCACAGAGAGGGACTTCACCAATCTCCTCTGCCTTCAACTGGAATCTTCCACTACTCATTTTAGCCAGAGTTATCTTCTGTTCACCAAACACCTAACAAAGGCAAGTAATCGATTTCGGGGAATTTAATGAACAACCCTTTCGGCAGTCTTCCCTGGAGAATTCTCATAACGAATATAATCACGACATATGAATACTATATCAATTTCCCATGAATGAGATCGGTAAAATCTGAATACAGCGCTAGCGGGCTTGGAGCCCTGCGGAAAGCAGTATCGCCCAAATTCAGCAGTAGTTGATGTGGATTTCTGAAATCAGTTTTGCTACCTTTTCTCGAGTAATTCATATTATCAAAACGGCAGTAATATTATAATCAAAAATAATTTTAGGTTAGACATAGGGAAACAATCGATCACCAAGGCGCGCGCTAAATCCCATAAACTACTTACCTTGCCCGACTTGGGATCGATTTCGCATGGGAGTAACTCGAAATTATCTCCCAAAGCCGTCAGGCACTCGCCCGATTGAACTTCAACTATCCCTCCATGGTGTGTGTCAACCTAAGATACGCGGTATCCAAAATTCTTCGCTGTGCGTAACTGACTCTGAAATTCTGCCGGAAACCTGCAGCCCCGCAGTTTTCCAGCGAAACATGAGCTCCTCGGTCGCGTTGCATTCCAATGCAACCCTCACGATGTGATCGAGGATCGGATGAATACAATTTCCTGATCAAAAAAGAAAATGATGAAAACCTCCAATTCCCCAAAAAGACAGTGTTGGAATATATCTTCGCTTTCCACCTCAGTTGATCTCAGGAGTGTGAAAAAAAAACACTAGTAATTTTCCGAAAATTTCCTTATCTTCGCCACCAAATGTAGTTGATATTTTCCCCCTCCTACAGTTGGTTGTTTTGCAATTTAATCCATTGATCGTGAAACTCGCCGTACGTGCTGCAGACGTTCGTGCCGAGACCTGTCCCCATTTCGTTGCCAGACAAGCACTGATCGGAATTCCAATTCCTGAAAAAAAATATAAAAACTGCGGAGAAAGTAGGATTCCTGAATTCTGATATGCATGTAATAATCACAGCCCTATTTTTTTACGAAATTTTCCGCAATTTTTCCATGAAAACTTGAGGAAAAATTTTTCTCGACTGAATAACAAATCAAAAAAGTTCTTACCGAAATCCCGAACAACATTTCTTCCCATCACGATTTCCTTGATGCCACAATTGCCCTTTAGAGCTCTCCGAACAGCGCGATAAAACGACATCATTCTGGCCTGAAAATCAGAAAATTCGGGGAAAACTCGAGGAAATTTTACGAAAAATCCCAACAAGAATTGACCACTTTATGGTATCACCAACGACTAGCCGAAAAAATCTATCTTAAATTTTCCCGCACCGCCGAAGATACCTCGGGTTTCCAAACACATGCCAGAAATATCATCTTTTAAATGGAAAACCTGTCGCGGTACCAAACCCGCATCGAAATAGAGTGCTCGAAACCTGAGGTAAAAACGGGGAAAATAATCCGAAAACGGAATAAATTACTCAGCACCTGTACAGAAACCAAGCAAATGGTCTGCATTTCAATCCTTTCTTTATTTCCAAAATATTACCTAAAATCCAAATTAAATGGGAGAAAGCGGAAAACCAACCCCAAACGCCCAAAATTTTTACAATTCTGACGAAAAAAAATTCCAGGCGAAAATTCATTTCATGAATTCACACATTCCTAATTGCATAACCGCATTTTGACAAAAACCGCTGAAAAATCTCAAAAAAAACTACAAATATTCTTACTAATATCAGGTCTCGTCATTTCGCCCGTTTTGAAGCCCGAAAACGCGGGAAAAGTCTCCAACTTCTCCAACCACTCATCGAACCAAGCTGAAGCCGCTCGGTACCTGAATGAAATTAGCGCGCGCCCAAATGATCGATTTTGACTACTTCGAATTAACGCATGACAAACCATCGAAAGAATACAATTTGACATTATATCATTCCTCAACATTCTGTTGATTGATTTCCGAGCTCTTCAAAAATTTTCGGATAAAAAAATTTTCGGAGAAAAAAAATTTTCGCTCACCGATTCGTCACAACAGCTCCGCCCGGCACGGTATAGCGGGGCCGAGTTTTCGGGTTACTCGACACCCTCCACATGTGGGCAACATACGAATCTTGCGCGTTAACCTACAACGACAAAAACAAAATCGTCACTGCGCCACGAAATTCGTCACTGCGCCACGAAATTCGTCACTGCGCCACGAAATTCGTCACTGCGCCACGAAATTCGTCACTGCGCCACGAAATTCGTCACTGCGCCACGAAATTATCCTTACAATTTCGCCACCACACAGCCATATCCTCAGACTTTGATCAATGTTCTCTCCGCCCCAGCCGATCATTCGAGTATCATAACCGCCGGTCTCCTTCCACCACTTGCGAGACATCGCCAACAGCCCACCCGACATTATGGGTACGTACCTAATGGAGGTCCCTGGTTCGAATCCCACACCTGTCATAATTATATATTCCTGCGAATTCACTACTACTAAGAAAGAGTTCACTTCATAACAAAGAATATAATCTCCCACATATTCAAACGTGAATATATTCGATCATTATCACAAATCGATCACGTGATCGATTTGATCAACAACTTACTTATCCTCATCACTAAACCATTTAAAATCTGCATCCCAGGTAAGATAACACTTCGCCATCCCGCCGCTGGTGCGATGCTCTTCCCACGTGTCAGGATCCAAATTAGTAATAGAAGGTACCACCACACCTAATTTGCATAATCGTCCGGTTTAATGGGCGAAAAATTCCGATTGTCACTCACGTTTATAATTTGTCCGTATTTGCTTCACAATTGGGCTAAACCAGTCTTTAGCCGGCTTCACATGGCAATCCAAGAAAATGATGATGTCGCCTGTTGCTACACCAGCACCTGCGAATTCCACATTTGCTCAAAATTCCAAAACATAAAAATGCGTGTTCTAATACAACCAATTCGATGCAAATTCGTTCCTCAAAATCGTCGACGTTTTAAACATATTCCAACATCGTCATCGAAACCTCAACAGCCAAGCACAAATATCCCTGTCGACTCGACAGTGTCGAGTATTTATAAATTCAAAATAAATTGCTCACGACCTCTAGGTGGCGAAAACGATTATAGCGGGGTAAAAACGTACTGTAATACTCGATGAAAAAACAATCGCATCTAAGAATCACTGTATAAATATAACAATATTTCAGCTAGCATAATCGTTCAACCAAATTAATGGGAAATTTTCTCCGGTCAGCTTACCTTTGCTCTTGGCGTTGATAAGTCCCGTAAACGATGAATGTCGAACCCATTTCACTTTCAACCTGAACGATGCAGGTCAAAAAAATTTCCGTTTTTTTGGAAAAAAAACGGGAAAAATTTTCTCACTCTTTCTGCTCCTCTTCAGTCAGCAGCGTCTTCAATGGAGGTGTGCTTCCATCATCAACCACAACCTACGGAATAATTTACCCCTCCTAAAACGCTGGGATTCCCAATTAATCCTACAACTTCTTGCAGTATATTATCAGGCGTCGCCTCGTTCACCGACTTCACCGTTTTAACCATAAATTCTCCTTCGTTCGCGCACGGTAAAACCTGCGGTCACCAAAAATCACCAAAAATTTTTCTATACCATAATTTCTGCCAGAAAAATAATATAATAAAATAATAAATGCCAAAAAATATTTTTGCCTTCCCAAAAAAATCTCACCTGGTAAAAAAAAGGAAAATTTCCAATACAAATCAACTGCAACTGTGCGACTATCGCGATTAGTTTTGGAATATATTTTCGCTTTCCTGAGCTGCGCTCAGTAGCTTCCTCACTAATTATTTACATACAAATTCGAGTACAAGTGTAGAAAATCCAACAACAATCTCCCAAAATTTCCCCACAATTTTCCTGACCATGTGCATATTTTCCCACGCTGGTCGAAAAATATTTTCACAAAAAAATCAGGAAAATATGCGCATGGTCAACTACATGTGTTGGTGAAAATGCCCGACATCACAAAGACTTACAACGCTGATTTTCGGCTGATATAAAAAGCCGCCTCCCAACCCCACGTCGTCGTCGACTGCGAATTCACTACTACCACCTGCAGCTGAGAAAAAATATCACCCCCGAAAAAATTAAATTTATCCGGAAATTCGGAAATTTTACGCCGTAAAAATTCAGATTTTTCCCAAGAAAAATTTATAACATTTCAGAGCGGCATTCAACGCCTTATTAAGATCACATAACTATGTTGAATTCTTCCTATTTCGCCCGTACAAGGAAATTTTCAAAAATCGGTGCCAACCGAAAATTTGAATTTTTCATCTGAGTAGATTCACACAATCGCTTCAACTTTCATGATGACCGGAATTTTTCGCGCATAAATTGAGTTTCTCCAGTTTTTAAAGTAAAACCTGCGTTATTCACTGCTAACATGCAGAGTGGATTTCGTTGTTTATAATACTGCCAAAATTAGTACCGAATTTTCGTCAAACTATCGACACTAAGTTGCTGCACGCATGAACATAAAATTAAATTTTTTTCTATTACCCTCCACGTGCGCGGACGAATTTTCCAATAGTGCATCCAACAATGTTGTGTTATCATGGATCCATACCATGCCGCGGCTGATCTGCAACTGTACTGCATAAAAAACCTGAAAATTTCGGAAAATTTTACGAAAAAAATTTTCCGAAATTTTCCCTCACCAGTAGCCGCCATATAAAAGGTATCCGCGATATTCTGCTCGAGGGTGCAAAGAGAGTCACCACTGCAGCTACGCACGAAAGAAGGAGTGCCGTAACTGGAAAGGAAAAAATAATTTCGTGCTGCGTGAAAAAAAACTAATGTCGGAAAATTCCCAATTGAATTTTCCATGATAATGTGATAATGAACATGAGCATCGCTGCTGATGGAGACTAGCATTTCATAGTGATTCATAAACGGCCGATTATGCGTGTGAAATTGAACCGTGTCAGAATTGTCAGGGTTTTCACCATATTTTCCTACAACTGAAAGTTCACTAGCCCGAAAGTCAGGAACGATTGTAGCGCGTAAATTTGGAAAGAAAAATAATTTTCCCGGAAAGTTTGAATCTATTTTCTGACGAAACTCAGTTGAAGACTTTTACTTCATTCAATGGTGAGACCAACAGATTCATTTAAATTTAATTTTCTGGGAAAAAATAATATTTTTTCTAAAATGAGTAAAAATTTTCCATGACAGTTTTCCGATGTATGATTCATCAGTGGTGTTCAACTGAGTACTTTTTAAATCATATTATTTCTCGAAAAATTCCGAAAAACATTTCCAAATTAAACGTGTTTTCTTATTATTACCAACACCAACGGTTTGCCACCGAAATATGAGTAAAACCAGCGGGAGGAGGAAGAGGGTGCAACATCGGATGATTTGCCGACGTTTATATGAAACGTTTTCCTTGGCCATATTGGGAGAAAATAGGAACGTGGAGAAGATGCTGCTCGAATGAGGTTGTGCGTTGTGGAGTGGGACGATTATTATTGGGTAATTTATTCACAAACGATTACCGCTCCCGGAGATTTTTACACATCATGGTGATTTTTTACCCACTCATAATCGCTCGCGCGGTTCTGACTTTTTCCTGACGTTGAATTTTCTCTGACATATCAATTTTTATCACAAGTATCAATTTTAATAACATGTCTGTCCCCGCGTCTTCTCCTACCACTCCTTTAGCAAATCAGGCAGTTGCTGATAAGCTCAGCGAGATGAGCTTTCGTTTCCCACAATTTCTCATGGCGTAATAATAGTAAATTACCCTCGGGAACTGTTCTGTACATCTCCAATTCAGAGAAGGTCTCCATCCTGGCAACGTACTTGAATACTTCTATCAGTCGCCTTTCTACCTGCAGCTGGATGGTCCCGAGAGTTTGAATGATAAGGTCGCTATTGGTGGAGATGAAAATATTCGACGCCTGGTTTCTACTTGTGAAATTCGCGAGAACGTATATAAATGAATCTCTTGTGGTCGTCATTGCTTTGAAGGAAGCACAAGTCCTTTGGGTGTTGCGGATAGTCGTCGTGCTATTCCTACAGCTATTGTGAATGGAATATCACTTGAGAGCTGCCGTTGCTGAATGATTTAATTTTGAAACTCATTATTCCGAGGTTGGTTTTTACACGGAAAATTTCACGGAGTTCCAAAGAATTTCTATTTCTTTATTGGATTTCCAATAATTAACCTCACAGTCAGCTTTCTCAGTGAACTTGCGATTTTTTTCGAAGAATCGTATCTGGGTTGAATCTCTCTTGAAAGATACGACATTCCTTGGAAAAAATGTGGAATTTGTATCAACAGAAATGTAGTCTCAGATTGATTATAATATTCCTCAGTTTTCCGTCTCCTCGTCTCGAACTTGAGCGTAAAATTTTTGCAAAAAATTCACGCGAAAGAACCCCACTGCTTTCCCGTGGGATTGTTTTTATCAAACTTCTCTCGACAAGTTCGTTTTGTTGGTCTTCCCGGAATTCGATGATGGCTTTAGGTGAGGAAGAACGAGCTTCGGCCAGAAGAGATACCTTACACGGAGGGCACAGTTTACGAGCTGGTTGGCATGAACAAAGAGGCAGAAGCCGGCAAGTACAGTCCAGTTGGGGGAGCGTCCAGCTTGAGATCCCAAGGTCCCTGGTTCGAATCCTCTCAGTGTCCCTTTGAGCATATTCGTCATCCAGCGAGTTAAACAACGTAAAGCGGGTTTCCGAACCGGACCAGGCGGGCAACCCATCCCCTGTAGGAGGGCCGCCCAACAAATGTTCTACATCATAGCAGGCAACGCGTAATAGATCGGGAGGTGAGGCTTGTCTCGATTTCGTGTTGAGGAGTATTCCTAAGAAAAAGTCAATGTTGGGCATTCTTCGAGTAGCAGTGGGATTATCAAAAGCTCATTAGAGCTGAATTTGTCTGTTGGTGCAAGTAGCGCTGAGGTGGTCTGTTATTAGCACTGCTGTGCACCTGGGATGGACAGCTCACGTTGGAAGAGGACGATATTCATGAATGGCGAATTTGAAGTTGGCATCGTTGGGGTTGAATATTTGGATATGTAGTTTGCATGGAATTTGTAGTGCAGTTTCCTCCGTGATATGGAAAACAGTAGTGAGATAAACGTTACGTTATATTTCTTACAGTGAACTCGTTGAGAATACGTATTATTCATTCAGCATTTCGCGTAACGGGTATACAATTTCGCGCCACTTCTCGCTAAATGGACGAAACTGCATTGGGGGAATCTCCCGGATTTTTCGAAGAGAAAAATCATAGTTCTTGCGAATCGTTGGTTGAACACTTTGCGTTATATACACTTATGTCGTTGCTGGCAGGTATAAGGCGCCTTGTTTGGGTCGGCTTTTGGAGCGACAAGTAACGACGGCATTTACGAGAGTCGACGATATACTCAATACGTGCAAGGAGGCGTTTGGGATGTCTACACTGAGCTGTAGGTGGTATGGTATATGTTCATGTGATTTCACTGTTGTTGCGGATGGAGTGGTATGAAAATGTACTATGCCTTCTTTTGTTAGTATTGCAAGGAGATGACAGCGAATTGACGGAAAAGGCCTTGGAAGGAACCGAGAAAGTGGCAGAAGGTGAGAATGGGAAATTTTTACCAGAAAATCTTCGTGGAGCTTCTGTGTTTGATTCATATGTGCGATAATATGAAAGTTCGAGTTGGAATTAGAGAGTTATGTGTAATCTCATAAGCAGTGTTGTTGTGAATTCGTTTTTCCTATTCTTATCACGAACGTTTGCTTATCGTTGTTCTTACATATTCTTCGAATTTTCGACAAGTACTTTCCTGAGCGAAAACAGTGCGGTGTGACTTGATCGGTCCTTGCTAGATGAAGACGGAGGAGTTGGTGGCATCATAGAGGCCGATAGTGAGGAGGGAAGTGAGACTTCATCGTCGTCGTCAGAGAGCGAAGATGAGGAGGAGGATGGGAGGGGATTGAAGCGAAGAGAGAGGTTTGGATGGCCGAGGTGGGATGATGTGTGGCTCGACTGGGGGAGGTCCCGGGTTCGATTCTTGGTGCACACATTCCAACTGAGGCGTCAATATTACTCTCGTTTTTCTTCCCTTCCTAGAAAAAAGTGTCTTTTTCCGGTTCGCTTGTCGGAATTAACTTTCTCTGTCGTAGTGAACGGCGCGCTTTTCATCTCAGAGAGAAAGTAATCGTTAATTTCAGATTTGTAAAATTCGCTCGCCCTGGCGTTGGCAGTCGAACGTTACTGGATCAAACACTCCGGGAAGAAGTAGTGCGAGTTCGGGAAAGGTTCACGAAGTACCAAAAGGAAGAGGAGGCGGCTAGAGTTAAGGAAGAGCAAGTGAAGGCAAGAGAGCAAGATTTGGGACGGAAAACGGGTCAGAAAAAAGAAGGGTGATTGTGTTTCCTTTGAATTTGATGTTGTTTTTGGTGGTGAATCTGAGATGAGAGGGAATCCTGGGGGGGGTATGGTTGTAGTAGTTTGGCGCGAGTTTTGAAATGTCGCTCATTTGTTTATCCCTACGTGTGTCGTAGAATGTCAGCCTCGACGGGTAAGAGATATTCGCGCAAATTGATTTCTCTTGTATTCTTTTTTAATTTTGCTCGTGAATGTGATAAGAAACGTGAGTGATGAGATGGTGGAGGCGGGTATGCATCGGCATCATCATCGACGAGTGATAATGGATAGTTGGAGAGTAGTAGCTGCCATGGTTGTACGCATGCGCAGGGTCTTACCTGTGCGGCGCGAAAGTTGTTATGAAGTGTTGCGGCTCGAAGGTGTGGGCTGGTTTTCAATGGGATCTAGTGCCCATGGATGTGCCTCGGTCCTAGTTGTTCTTGTGTTGTACACGATGTCTGATGTTGATGAAAGAGGAAGTCATGAAGGAGTGGTATCGACTGTCAAGTCAAGTAAGCATCAGTAGACTCTCTTGAATTTTAGGGTCGAAGTTGAATTGAATGCTAGGAATAGAGTAGAGAAAACATATCTAGGGAACTGTTATGCAAGTCGGTTGGGTTAGAAGTCATTCTTGAACTCAACACGTGAGGAAGGCGTCTCAGAATAAATATACAGTAGCAGTCGTCTAGAGAGGAGGAATAGGCGTGCAAGCGTAACTTTTTCAAGAATGAGAGTTTCAGGTTAATTTTTTCTTCTAAATAGCCCTGATATATATATCTACAATGTAGGATAGGACAGCAGTTTCTCAACTAAAAAAAAGGTAAACGTGAAAATTCATGTATATCATGTTGGAGTCGCCTGGTCTTGAGCACAGCGTATTCCACAATATGAACCGGGAATGTGATTCACAGTTGTAAGATACACCGGAGGTCAGCGAGGAGCTCAACCCGTGGACGTGTATAGCGGACAAGACGAGAAAGGGAGCTCGCGAGTGCACAGAACTGTAGGGAGTCATTTGTAGAGATCTGAAGCGAATATGGATAGGTATCTCTGTGATAAGGCGGCTGGAGATATCAGCTCAGAGATAAACGCGTTTCAAAATATTGAGGTTTTGTGGATAGAAGGCAATCGATTGTCCGGACTGCTCAAGCTGCAGGCTCACAGCAGGCTGCAGGAGGTAAGAAGATGCTGATTTCATGGAAAAAATTCAGTGAAAATACAACTATTTTATGAGTAAATTTATTGTCAATTATTGCCTTTATACCAGTTCAAGTAACTTTATAGTTCTAAGTAAACCTTGACAGTTCTCTTTGAATGGGCTGTCTGTGTGGGATGGTCGACGATCTTCTATTGCTTTGAGTCAATTATCGACATAAGGTATGTATGTGAACTTGAAGGTTATTGCCATAATCATATCTCTATCCCTATCTCGCAGGAGTAGGTGAGTGTGGAGTTCTTAGCATACGGCAATTAGACAGAACCAACTATCTCTTGTATCTGTTAACAATATCTGAGGGGCAATAGGCTATTGAGTGGCATGATTGTACAAACGGGAATGAGATGTCGTCGGGTAGCCTCAACTGCTAGGCTCTGCTCGTCTACCACTTCCTCAAGCTGCATAAAGGGGCCGACATAAAACAGTGGTTGGCTCATTGATGCGAAGGACCTTCGCCTTCTCCTTCACGACTACAAACCAGACGTCATTCATACTCGTCTACTTCCTACAGCCGCTTCTACCACGCTCATAATTGCGCGGAAGCTCCCTTTCCTACTGAGAGTCATTGGATATATATTGGGTCGCTATGTGGCTCACTGACCGTCCCAACCGTTGGGAGCCCTTTCGGAGTGATTGTGGTACACGGAGAGAATAGTCTCGCGACGGTCGGTGTTAATTCTGTATCTTCCCAGGAATTCGCCAAATAGTATTTGGTATGTACTGAACATTATCGAGAACCACCGGACTCCACGGGGGAGGGGGGCCTTGAACCTTCCCTGGAGAATTATTGTCTGCTCTGGTACCCTGGCTCATCTGCGTCGACGTTCTGTCAGAGTGCAATGGTGGCATCGGCATGGTGCAATACCTACTGCAGCTATGCAGCATCACAGTGGCTCAAAGTGATACAGCTGTCTTGTAATACGATAACAGCTTCCGTAAGCGGCTAGTGTCAACGGGTGTGCGTCTAGCCGGAGAAGTTTAACACTCTCTCTCGCAGGATTATCTGCGGAGGGGTACCCCTAAGTGTGTGCGAGTGGACTGTCCATACTGGTCGGGATTGATCCCCTAAGAACGTCTACAAGTGGCTTGTCCACCAAGCTGGGTCCTTGAGTATCTATAAATGGTCTATCTCCATTGATCAGAGCTGAATCCGTCCAATTACGACAGGATCAAATCCGATCGTAGTGTTACCGTTGGAATACGAATGAGATGTCCGAGCACAAGACGTATGTCGGTGCTCATACGAAATGCTCAATCGATACCCCATTGACTTCACTGCATTACCAATAGCCACACTTGTTGGTTCCCAAAACTTCGAATTTGCTGCGGGAGCAGATCAACAATGGAGGAATTCAACGCTCTTGAATGGCTCGTGAATTTTTAACACAATTTCTGTTCTGTTGTCACTGTTATCCCATGTAGATCACGAGCTCATCTCTTTCAGATTTACGCCTCTGATAACTGTCTTACGAGTTTGAGGGGAATTGAAGGTTGCAAATTCTTGAGGAAACTCAGCGTGGCTTCAAACTGCCTGGGAAACCTCTCCGAGCAGTTGCGATTCCTATCAAAGTATTCTGGAATTCAAGGGAGAGCTGGGTGTCCTATACCGATTTATCATTCCTCACTATATTTCAATACCACTCTATCGGTTAATCAGGGTATCTCTTAGCTCGACTTTATGTGTCGCTGTTTGTTGAGCGAACGTCTGGTTCATAGATTCCGAGTGAGAATTTAGAGAATGGGGAAATCTCTGTGTTTCTCCCAGCACGAGAAATGTTTAAGCTCGATCAATGTGTCCCTTTCAGATTTCACTTCCTGGCTGCTTTAGAGCTCCGAGGCAATCCGTGCGCGGAAGAAGAAGACTATAGAAAACGTAGGTCAACGCGCGGATCGTCCATCTCGATTGCGCTATTGCTTTCCACCGATTACTTCGTAATGTCGCACCTCGACAACTTGTCGACGACAAGTTGAGGCGTTATGGTATCGACATCTTACGAAGGTTCTGTTCATATATAGTGGCTGTAAACGAGATCAACGCATAGCTCAACTTGTCGCAGTTGCAGAGTTATGATGGTGCACAGCTCTAGTATAAATCTTCAATGTCGCATCACGAGAAGTGTCAAGATTTATTTCGTCTTGTTTATTCTCATAGGTTGCATAACCTCGTTGTCGTCGCTGTTCATGCTGGACTGCTCTCCCGTCACACTCCGCGAGAGAGACTGTAGACAATCACTGAAGGCTGATGAGTCTGCTGGTCAGCTAAAACAGAAAGCATCGGTGGGCGAGTGAGTACGTGAAAAAGGTATCTTCATGTGAAGCAGGTGTCGGGGATCATCAATACGAGAGCGAGCGAGATTGAGAGCGAGATCTTTGCAAAGGCTGAGGAGATCAGGAGGAAATGGGCGACCTTGGCCGAAGCACGAGCTGATGCACAGTAGGGCGGCTTACCTCGATCAGACTTTAATATCGGGTTTTATGAATTCTTCTCTCACTCACGTGTGTGGTCGTTATGGCCATCTGTGAGCGTCTTCGATTGAGGTTCGAGGTCGCAGTTGGCTACTGCAGTCAGTGTGACCTGATAATATGGGACTATGGCTAATGTTTTGGTATACCACCAGAACACTACTACCAGCACTTGGGGATAAGTGAATTGCGTATGCGCACAAATACAGTTAACAGTTCACTTAATCGTCGTATTCTCTCTTGAGGTAGCACAATAAAGTGATCGAATAATTTCAATCTCATTCCACTATATTATCCACTCCTTTTATTTCATTATTTTTATTTTTACTTTTTCTACTCAATACCATAAAATTGAGATATAAGTTCTATCTTATAACGAAGTATGATGTGAACTCAGTTGGGTGCTGAGATGATCGTTCCAGGTGGGGGTTGGTGACACCACCACGCCTCGATCCAGAAGCCGCATTCCCCTCGAGTAGTGGTAATTCGAGGATGCATCTGGTGAGGAGGAAGAGGGAGGCGGATGCTTACCGCAGGCTTACACCTTGGGAAGTAGGTGTCTGATGGCTACTTCAGACGGTTGTGATAGAAAAGTATATTTCTAATTTGTTGCATTTCGAGAGAATGATAAAAGTGGCTGATAGTGTTCCTCTGTTATGCGGTAAAGTAGGTCGTTGAATATAATATTCATCGTCGTATACTATTCGATTTTTCAAATTTTACATCATTTATGTCATAAATTTTATGATATTTCAAAAACTCTCGTTAAGGGGAATTGTTCGAGCATATCGACTCTTCGATTATAAAATTATTATAATTGTATGGCTGCTTTTACGCGAGGGATGATATGTTCTTATACACGTTCTATCACTGTCTATGGGTTTTCTCAGGCATCTGATGTTGTCAAGATTCTCGTGGATAAGGTTCCTGATAATTGCACGCATGCACAAGCTTTGGAAGTTGTAGCTTCACTCACCGGAGAGGGTTGCTTGACGGAAGAGCTGGGAAGAGAGTTGGCGACTGATGAGGCCGACTTTTCACCAAGTATGTGGCATCTTAGGTTGCCGTCAGGAAGATACGAATTATGTCGTGATCATGGTCATTTTGTATTCAGTTGCGAATTTGTTTTCAAGTCCGGAGACCGACGTGCCTTCCGCGGAACTCATTCGAACAATTATAGAGGAGTTTCCATGGAAGTGGGGATGCTCCAATGTTAGTCGTTTATATTTGTCTCAGGTTTCTCAGTGACGAGCGTCTGCAGCGTATGGTTCATCGACTTTCCAAACAAGCGGAGAAATTGATGACCAAAGGGGATTTGAAAGGAGCTCAGGAGGTGAGTGTCACTCACCTCCTGACATCCTATCAATGACACCTTCACTCACTGAGTGAAGGTGTCATTGATAATGACTTGTGCATGGTATAAGTGTTCATTAATTCCATTTTGCTGTTAGAAGATTCAGACTTCAGAAGTACGTAGTCGTATCCGTGATGAAATGTTTTACCACGGGTAGCATCTTGGTCACACAAGGTGTTCACATTTTTAATGCTATCAGGCCAATATCATTCGATTCTGTGGATCCCTGTATTGCTATATTGATAGAGTCAATAATTGACTTCAGTCATTGATTGTCAATGCTCGTTGGTCAGATGAGTTTAAAGGCGTTACGCTTTGAGGGTTGTAGAAGCCGAGCTGTTGAGACGGAAAAAGCTGCCAAGCCTTTAGTATTTCCCGAGACTAATCTGGATCAAAGAACTGGTAGAAGACACCTTGTGTGGTTTTGCAGTAGATTGTATTCTGTGTCAGAAGAAGCGAGGAGGCGATTGAAAAGGAGATTAGATACTTTCGCGCATTCATTTATTCGTGATGGTGTTGTTGTTCGACAGACGGCGTCCATGAGCTGATCGGTGTTGTCATGATGATGATGTTGTAGTTTTAGTCCTGTCAATTTCGTATCGATCACTTGAGTGTTGACGACTTCAGGATTGGATGGGTTCATGAGCGTCTTTGATTCTCTGAATAACCTTGTGATAAAAAACCAGCTTTAGGAGCAATGAGGAATGGAGTCCATTCAATGGACAGCAACGAGTTAACAAGTGGCTCTGAACTCATGATCAACACAGTCATTATAAAGTATGTGATAGGCTAGCCGAACGACAAGAATCACAAGGATCGCAGCATCAGGACAGACACTTATATTACAACATTTCCAAGCATGGACCACCGGTAGCAGCTTGCCACGATGCTGATGACATATTCGTGTGAACCTTTTGTATAAGTCTACTACTACAGCATTTCCGGTGCAAGTTTCCTATGTGTCTGACTTCCATGTTCATGGTCAATTCGATTGACTCGATCGTGCTTGTAACATTTTCAAACTCGCATGGGCAATGGTGTGATAGGCTTGCAGTGTGGAATCATTATAAGCAGTCCTCGGAGACTTCATGAGGAATACAGTTTATTGGACAGCTTCCTTTGTGATGAGAGTATCCCGAGTCCGACAATCCCTCAAGAGGTTCGATGAAGGGCATTTATTGTTTTTATGAAAGCCCCTCCGACTCGAGAGGGTGGGATTGGAGAACCGAGGCGCCATTCAGCGAAGGCTGGATTTCCAAGTGTGCGCGAGATTGCCGATCAAGCAACGTTCAACGTTGCCACTAGTCTCATACTAGTAGTCTCATTGTCTTATCTGTAGATCGGCAATCGGGGAATCCATAACCTGCAAATGCCGCATTCGAAATGCGCCGAAGGTTCTATGTGGCAGGGACCGCATGGTGCGAACTAGGTTTTACTTGTTGCACACCGATACGGGCCCGGCACACATCCCCCGGATCGGGTGGGTGTGGTTAAAGCGCATCAGGCCAGTGGTGCATTGCTGCTCCACATGGAAACAAGGAATTGTTAGGCTAAGTTCCGTGGGATGGCCGCACATGTATCTTGCACGCATGTGTGCGTATGCACGTACAGATTGTGTGCTCTTCGCGGTGCGTTCCAGGTTTGCATAGTCTCTCGTTACTGAGGTGATTTCACTGCCGCAACGCTTCGCTAAGCTCTCAATGAATAATTAATTGAACTATGAAATTCCCAATGACGTAGAGGATGGGATGGATAGATGTAGCTGACTGGCCAAAATAACTAGGGCAAAGCAGATTGCGTTGCCCATAGTAGGATTGATGTGGTCCATAGGTCACAGTCTGTGACTCACAGGCTGTTTAGAACAGCCTGTCACACAAGAGCAACTCACGACGAGCTGCCAGACAAGTCGAACCACAAGGCGGTGGTCGCTGTGGACGGACCCACAGACTGTGACTCACCACACTCCAGTCAGCGTCATCTATTAGGGTTGAGAATGTTTTACAACGAATACAATCTAAATATCTCAGCGGACTTACCTTGGAAATCGTTGAAGACAAACTCTAACCCTACCTCCACGTCGAGGGATTGGGCTGGGATGGGTATTAAAGTTAGCCAAGGTCTGGTGATCACCAGACAACCAATATCATACTTAAATCATCAGCACCGCTGGAAGAGGTGCACTAGCTTCAAGCTAGTAGCTCCAGCTATGCGCAAGATGCCTCAATGGCTTATCACAAATTACACAACTACCCTCTTTTGCGTTGTGCAGGAGTAGGAACTTCCTCTACTACTAGAATTTCACTTTCGTCGATCAGCCGTAGTCGATCACTGCCATGAAATTCCCAATGACGTAGAGGATGGGATGGATAGATGTAGCTGACTGGCCAAAATAACTAGGGCAAAGCAGATTGCGTTGCCCATAGTAGGATTGATGTGGTCCATAGGTCACAGTCTGTGACTCACAGGCTGTTTAGAACAGCCTGTCACACAAGAGCAACTCACGACGAGCTGCCAGACAAGTCGAACCACAAGGCGGTGGTCGCTGTGGACGGACCCACAGACTGTGACTCACCACACTCCAGTCAGCGTCATCTATTAGGGTTGAGAATGTTTTACAACGAATACAATCTAAATATCTCAGCGGACTTACCTTGAAAATCGTTGAAGACAAACTCTAACCCTACCTCCCTTCCATCTCATCCTCGTTGACAACTCAACAAACAGCGAGCCCACAAGGCACGGAAACTCACGGCTGTCAGATGCACGGATCGAGTAGATCCGAATCGGATCATCCGATCTACTCAACTCCAATCATCCTCCGAGAGTAGAGCTTCTCGCGTCCCTCTCTTCCAGAGTGGTCTCGCATGTAATGATTGGACACAGTGCTGGTATCACTCCAGCGGCCATATTCAGCGATCGCTTCTAAGGATATACCTGCTCGGCTCATCAAGAAGACACCGGTTCTTCGCATGCTATGCGACGTTTTCCTGCCAATCGCTTGTTGATTAACCATCTATCACAGTTTCAACAAGGAATTTGACATCCTTAGAGAGTTGAGTATAGGAGGATCCGAATAGTCTAGACGTATGGCTGGAGCTCTCCCCTCTCTGGTGGAGCTTCGCCCAAAGTCGGTGATAAATACAAAATAGACTGTCGCACGAGGTTGATCCGGGACCGTTAACACAACCAACCACTATAGTCTCTCCGGTTCCGCTCTGATCAGTCTTGGACTGACGTATATTTATGCGGAGTGAACAATCAGACTCGTTGAAGATAAGGTCATCATTGCGGAGAGCTACAACCTCCTTCAGACGGAGAAGAGCCATAACACCTACCAGGTAGCCAAGAACATTCTCCTCTCTCCCCGATGGTGGAATTAGCCCCAGTAATAGTCGCAGCTTCCCTATCGTTAGTGTCACCGTCCTTTTCTTCTTTCTATTCCGGAGGAGGCGTTTTGCTGCATGTAATGCCAACCGAATCTTTTCCTGATCAGCATTGGTCAGTGGAGTGATCTCATACAGCCTTGATTCCACCTTCACTTTTCCAGCATAGTTATGCACCGTCTCCCACATGAGACTTTGATAGTGAGCGAAACGATGTAACATATCATTGAGTTGGCTGTGATAGGAAATGGGGTGAGCCCATGCTCGTCGCAAACTTCCCTGTAACCTCTCAGTGTAGACTCGCGAGAGCGCATAGTAGAGGCGGCTCTAGCCGCTTGCATATGATTGTCGATGTCTGAGCTCGATATTTTTGGCATAGCTCGACTCCTCTTCCTTTTGGGCAGTTCTTCTTCTGCACTTCTAAAGATGTGATGCTCTGACGGAGCATTAGCCATTCCACATAGACCGCCTTTCCTGAGCTGATACTCTCTCTCAACTGATGGGAGAACTGCTCGATTGGACATGTAAAATTAGAGTTAAAGAAGAAGGGCTGCCAGTGGGAGGATTTTTTTTAAGGATCCGATTCCGCAATAGCACTCAACACAATGAGGAAGGATAGTCACTAACTAACAACACTAGTAGTTCAGTCGCAGAACTCTGCAGTCTATCGAAAACCAGTCAGCTAGACAGAGCAATTCTCAAAGCAACGATTCGTCTTCCACATTGGGAGCGAAATCACTTGCCCCTAACAATCTCTTCTAGTCGACTCACGCTGATTCGTATGAGGTGATCGACTTCAATAGGTTCTCCAGGATTGCTGAGATGTCTCCTTCCTCGGCGACACCTAGCATAGATTCACGAATCACATCAAGCTCTGATCGTGACAGAAAGTCTGCTAGGACATTAGAATGTCCGCTCAAATGGTGAGCCGTTACCATATAACCCACCTTTGGCCATAACTCTCGCAAGGCATGCAGTACTTGGCTCATACGCGGAGATGAAGGATAGTTCTTATTGATAGCTGACATCGTTGCTTTATTGTCTGTTAAGACATGTATCACGCGACTACCCCTCGCAAAAGCCCGTGAAATGCCCACTCCAACTGCAATCCATTCTAGTGGACATATGTCTGAACTTGTGACGACCGAGTTACTAGTTAGAGGTAGACGCGCCAGATCGTCAGAGAAAGACCAATGGAACCATTCGCATCTCATGGGCTCATCTCCCATCTGGAAAAGTACACCTCCCATCGCCGAGAGTGAAGAGTCGGCAACTACCACTGTTTCTGGGATTTCTCCAGACTCTTCCCATCCGAGCACTTGCGAGGCAGTGGTATGAGTCAGGCTCGGCGAATTCAAGACCTCCAGGAAAAGTCTTGCAGATTCTACCAGCTTCTCTCCAACATGGACTGCTCGTAGCTGTCTGGATGTAGCTGCTTTCTTCAGGGCATACCAAGGGTGCAGTAGATGTCGTAGCCGAGGGGTCACTTGACATAACCAACTTAGCCGTCCCGTAACCCTTTCAATGAGAGAAGTTGGTACTGAGCACGACTTTCAAAGAATCCACTATAAGCTGGGTCTCTTCCACTAGAGAGAGTCGCTTTGGTTCAGGAACTCGAACTGTTTGGGAGTGTAGATCCCATTCGAAGCCGAGGTTGTGCGGCGTTGTGGTAATCCGAAGCTTATCATAAGCGATATCCAGTCCCAAAGCCTTATATACCAGAAGAATGCGAATAAGCATCCTTAAAGATTCTTTTCTTGTTGTAATCCAGCCAAGATCGTCAACATAGATCATGCCTGAACCAATGGCAGTACTAGACTTTTCAATACACGATGCACGCACCCAAAATATCGGCACCATAACAGGGGGGAACTCCGTAATCCGAAGGGTAGTCGCAAATGTTGGAAATACCACTGGCCGACATGATTGCACAAGAACTTTCGATCATCTACATGGACGGGAATATGGCGGAATGCTGAAGCTATGTCAGTTTCAATCCAAACCAATTCCTCATTTGGCGATCTTCTTTTCTGCTGTTGGACCAAGAAAGCTGCCGATGCTATACCAGGTAGACATATAGTTTCTTCACACCTGATTTTCTCATTGACTCCGGATCGCCGAAGGTCATCAATCAGACGGACTTTGCCATTCGGCTTGGGAACACATGCTAGCTTGGTTATGACTGCACCATCCGGAGCCATGGGTATCTTCTCCATACGGCCTTTATCGACTTCATCATCCAGCGTTGCTTGAACCAAGTCGGCTACATTATCAGCAGACTGATAGTTCCTCCATACCTGACCATCTTCGTAAGAGAGTCCAAAACCAAAGTGCTTGGGACCTTTATCCTTCGGCCACAAACCAGTTGCACGAATAGGGCGTCTGTATCCAATATTACAACCGTGCTGAATCTCATCACATATGCTTAAATCTTCAGGTATACCAGGCTGGGAAATAGCAGTCAAAAGATCACGTGTAAGTCGAGCTCGGATATTGCACGCTGGAGATCTTACAGCGGAACCTCCGAGAATCGACGCAAAAGAAAGGGCTAGTTCTTCAGCATTCTTGTGGAGAGCGACCGAGAGAATCGGCTCATGAAATGGACACCTTTCACCTTGCGCCGATCGAGAGAGCTGACTCCAGGTCGAAAGCTGTTCTAGAATACTTGGCGTGAGAACATCCGATACAGCAGCTTCCAGAGCGTCTTGCAGTTCCTGGATGACGCGAGGACTATCCGATGAGGGATTCTTAAACCATGTACAGTATTCCGGTCTAGAAGAACCATCACTGAGCCTTTCAAACACCTCGTCCTTCCAGTTTCCTCTGGAGGTATAGGCTGTCGTGTTGTAAAAGCTCAAGTGAGCTTGCTGCTCACCGACTTTATCAGCGAGATCAAATAGATGGGCTTCTGCCTGGTCACGACTCTCCATCGCTGAATCGCGCCGCTCTCGACGACGTTGATTTCTCCTTGTTTTGGCTGCAGCAGAACGAGTTCTCTTGGGCATCGGAAAAATTTGCAAAAGCTGACAAAATAAGCGACTCAACGACATTGTGGTTCGACGATCGAATATCCAGCAGGATTCACTGACTTGACAAGCCTATTCAACTCAACATCTCTATATGATATGAGAGAGACTAGATGCAGATTTAAATTGGGTTATGTAGACTTTGAGAACCCTTGGGGGTTGAGTTCAGGTTCAGAAGCTGAATATGGAGCCGATCTCTGAGAACCTTTCCCTTTCCCTGTGCCACCTTTTCCTTTTGCTCCTTTTCCTTTGGACCCCTTGCCCTTACCATACGAAGAAGACTGATCAGACCACCTATCAGTTTGTTGCAGCAGAGCTCGAGAAACTTCCATGTCTAACTTGGGTCGAATATAGGCTTCATCACTGAACATATCCTTCATAGATATAGCCCCGCTAGCGATTGCCATCGCACCGGACTTGCGGTATCTCGCCTCGGCGTCAATAACCGCCCGGACGGACTTCACAGCGCTGAATAAATCCGCAATGTGGATAGCATACGATACAAGATGACCCATGTCGACTTGTTTCCTACCAGCGTCTGATAGTTGGAGTGCAGTGGCATATCGGAAGAAGCACTCATCCCACTGCCCAATTGATGTAATGTAGGAGTTTTTACCGACCGAGCGTCGATGTTGTACAACTTCTCCAGTGACAGTTGTAACAGTTTCCACTTGATTATCATAGACATGCTTCGGAAACCGAAAATCGGACAGATCCACGTACAACAACGGATTATCTTGGATTTTCTTCATAGCCGGCAGGGGGGGAAGCATATTGGGCAGGAAACTAACCTTAGTTTCTGCCTCATGTGCAGCCTTACACAGCGCAGAGAGATCCACCATCATCTTTTTGGCTTTCCCCCGTTCTTCCGTCAGAGAGCGTTCATGTAGCAGACGTAACTGGTTGGATGCTTCCTGTGCTGCACCCTTGATAACAGTCTTTACATTATGCTTCTTCTGATCAAGTTCGGCAGCTGCTACGCCTTGGCAGGCATCAGAAGTTACTGCGGCTATGGTGTCATCACTTATAGAGGACAAGAGTAAAGCAGACACTATGCCATATAGCTCCAATGAAGCGACTATCTTCGATTCCCACACATCGGCATCCTGCTGACCTTGAATGGTGAGGTGTATGATGTCTTGAACCGCAGGCATATATAGAGGGGATCCCAAAAAAAAACCCAAAAAAAAGAAAAAAAGAAAAAAAAACAAAAAAAACAAGGCAACTTTCACTATGAACGAGTGGCAGATCGTTGAATATTCTTGGGTTCTGAATCAGCATCTCAGTGCATACCCAGAGTTTCGAAACTCCGATTCAATTCCTTAGCATTACTTTTTTTAATAGACATCAGTAATCTTACTGCGAATCGAACGTACAATCTCCCGTGAGTCCATCAAGTGACATAACCACTATTTCACTCTTTCTATCATATTAACGAAGCGAGTGAGATTGACTACTTGACCAAACAATTCATATCAACACTTTTCTTTACAGTACTAGACGATTGACTCTAAATATGAGCGTATGGACAACTGGACAAATGAAAAAAAAAGTGCTCATGGAAGGCGGGAAACGAAAAGGATGAACAAGGAATGAGGGAACTATGATAAGAGCATCACGAAGAATTCATCGAGAGAACCATCGAGAGTCCCACGACACGCGACGAACTGATTTGGAAGAAAAGATCTAAAATGTAATCTAATCAAGCAATGGATTACCGCACAGAAGAAAGCAAAATACCATGCTTTAAGCAAAGCATGTCAGCAAGAAAAGGTGGTCATCTCTTTCTGCATGCTGAATCGGGCAGCATGGATTTCCTTCATTTTTTTTTGGCATCGACTCTTGATTAACCAATCCGATAATAGTATCATCATAATACCAAAGAGCCAGCTTATCTGTAGGGAACATGCTAGCATTCGTCTCTAATCATCATTTTTCTCCTTGACTTCAACCTTCGACTAACCAGTCCGGTAGCTTCACAAACCAAAGGATGTCGCACAGACTTTCATCACAGCAGAGACCTGCTATTACCTGGGATTCGTAGTCAATCCTCTTTGAGCGCGGATGCCATAAGCTCTCCGCATCAAAGATTCATGACAATGAAGAGCCCCATAGGACCCTCACCGATCTAAGCAGCGGTTGAGGGATAGCCATAGTTCTCACACGGGTGAACGTGTACCTCCCATGTGAAAGAACAAGGCTTAAAGTTAGCCAAGGTCTGGTGATCACCAGACAACCAATATCATACTTAAATCATCAGCACCGCTGGAAGAGGTGCACTAGCTTCAAGCTAGTAGCTCCAGCTATGCGCAAGATGCCTCAATGGCTTATCACAAATCACACAACTACCCTCTTTTGCGTTGTGCAGGAGTAGGAACTTCCTCTACTACTAGAATTTCACTTTCGTCGATCAGCCGTAGTCGATCACTGCCAAGAAATGCGTAATTCACACCTTGTGGTTGCATGTACTACGTGCGCTAAACCTCCATCCACCGTCATGTATCGTGTGATCTCATAGCTTAACTGGTTAGGGGTGTGCTTCCACGTGCTCGAAACAGGGGTTCTATTCCCGGGCAGGGTCATACTGATACCCTGTATAATATACAGGTATAGCGCACGTAGTATATATACAGTGTATATATACTACGTGCGCTATAGTATAGCTATACCTCCTTGCACCGTCTTATATTGTATAATCTCACAGCTCAACTGGTCAAGGATACACTATCACTTGATCAAAGCTGAGGTTCTATCCCCCGGCACGGTCATTCTAAACACCTAAGCCATCGCAAGCAGCAGAGGAGGTTTACCGTGGCGCGCGCTGAAGTCGTGAATCAAGGTCGAGAATCAGAATCAGGGTTTGGTACCGGGGGTCCGGACCCCGGTACGAATCAAGGCAAAATAACGTGGAAAAATGGAGATACTCACGGCGTGAGTATGATTCGGAATCACACGCTGAGTAAAAATCTGATTCTGAATCTTTGGCGTTCTCGAGTTGAGTACAATACTCACGAGTAAGAGTTTTGAATCACAATCATGTTGAAAAAATCTAGAATCATGATTCTTACTCACTGGGTTGAGTAAATACTCTGACTCGTTGATTCACAATCAGAATTAATGGCTGAGTATGATTCTGAATCAGGAATCATGATTCTGAATCAGGAATCATGATTCTGAATCAAGAATCGAAATCAACGCTTGAGAGAAATCAGGAATCAGGAATCGTACTCGCGAATCCTGAATCTGAATCTGGGATCAGTAATCATACTCACGGATCATGAATCTCACTCATGAATACGGAATCTGAATCAACACTTGTGAATCATGGTGTGAGTCGAATCAAAATCGGAAATCAGATAGTGAGTTGAATCAGTGCCTGTGATTCTCGAATCAGTATCCGCATACCGCCCCTGATTCGTGCAAGTGATCGACCGTGATCGGATCACTGATGAATCGTGAGTCGTGATCTATCGATTTTAGGTCACTGATCCATGATCTACGATCCCGATCCAAAACTGACAGGATCATGGGTGATGTGATCTACGGATCACGAGAATGATCTATGATCCTGTCCCATGATCCCAATTTTATTGATCTGAGTAAAAAAATCAGGTTCATGTCATAAAATCATCACATTGATCTTGATGACGTGATTTTTTTCTCAGGATCACGCGTGGATCGGTGTTGTCACGATGATGATGATGATGATGATGATGATGATGATGATGATGATGTCTTAGTCCTGTCAATTATTGATACGAAATTGACATTCAATTTCGTATCAATCACTCGAGTGTTGACGACTCCAGGGTTGGGTGGGTTCATGAGCGTCCTTAATTCTCTGAACGAATTCGTGATGAAAAACTAGATATAGGGCAATTATGGATGGACAACACCGAGTTGACAGGTGGTTCTCAACTCATGATCAACACAGTCATTATCAGCTATTGTGATCGGTGTTGTGACTCACGCTGGCATTTCATTGACGTTGGCACTCTCACATCGGCACACTCACATTCAATGTGAGTGTGCCAATGTTAACGACTTTTATTGAGGCGCCCAATTCCAATAAGTGTATAATGTAAGGGGAATAGGCTCATCTTACAGCAGACCGGATAGCTGGAAGGAGCATGTGTTGGCTTGTGTTAGTCTCGTTGAGTCCTGAAGTGTATTATCTTTCATTACTTGCCTATCAAACGCGAACGCGCTATATCTTAGCTGAGTCTAGCCCAGTTGTTGTCATGCAGCGAGCGCCTGGGTTAGATGGATTGATAATTCCTAGTCTACACACTTTTCCTGATTAGATCAAAAGCGATACTAATGTGCCTCCCACTGGGAAGAGCGAGACAGTTCGTCGCGAAGAAAAGGTAGGGCATGAATCAGTTGATGTGTCGTTATGATCTGCTAGCACAATAAAGTGACCGAATAATTTCAATCTCATTCCACTATGTTATCCACTCCTTTTATTTCATTATTTTTATTTTTACTTTTTCTACTCAATAGCATAAAATTGAGATATAACGTAGTATGATGTGAACTCAGTTGGGTGCTGAGATGATCGTTCCAGGTGGGGGTTGGTGACATCACCACGCCTCGATCCAGAAGCCGCATTCCCCTCGAGTAGTGGTAATTCGAGGATGCATCTGGTGAGGAGGAAGAGGGAGGCGGATGCTCACCGCAGGCTTACACCTTGGGAAGTAGGTGTCTGATGGCTACTTCAGACGGTTGTGATAGAAAAGTATATTTCTAATTTGTTGCATTTCGAGAGAATGATAAAAGTGGCTGATAGTGTTCCTCTGTTATGCGGTAAAGTAGGTCGTTGAATATAATATTCATCGTCGTATACTATTCGATTTTTCAAATTTTACATCATTTATGATATTTCAAAAACTCTCGTTAAGGGGAATTGTTCGAGCATATCGACTCTTCGATTATAAAATTATTATAATTGTATGGCTGCTTTTACGCGAGGGATGATATGTTCTTATACACGTTCTATCACTGTCTATGGGTTTTCTCTGAGAAAATTTCTCAGGCATCTGATGTTGTCAAGATTCTCGTGGATAAGGTTCCTGATAATTGCACGCATGCACAAGCTTTGGAAGTTGTAGCTTCACTCACCGGAGAGGGTTGCTTGACGGAAGAGCTGGGAAGAGAGTTGGCGACTGATGAGGCCGACTTTTCACCAAGTATGTGGCATCTTAGGTTGCCGTCAGGAAGATACGAATTATGTCGTGATCATGGTCATTTTGTATTCAGTTGCGAATTTGTTTTCAAGTCCGGAGACTGACGTGCCTTCCGCGGAACTCATTCGAACAATTACAGAGGAGTTTCCATGGAAGTGGGGATGCTCCAATGTTATTCGTTTATACTTGTCTCAGGTTTCTCAGTGACGAGCGTCTGCAGCATATGGTTTATCGACTTTCCAAACAAGCGGAGAAATTGATGACCAAAGGGGATTTGAAAGGAGCCCAGGAGGTGAGTGTCACTCACCTCCTGACTCCCTATCAATGACACCTTCACTCACTGAGTGAAGGTGTCATTGGTAATGACTTGTGCATGGTATAAGTGTTCATTAATTCCACTTTGCTGTTGGAAGATTCAGACTTCAGAAGTACGTAGTCGTATCCGTGATGAAATGTTTTACCACGGGTAGCATCTTGGTCACACAAGGTGTTTACATTTTTAATGCGATCAGGCTAATATCATTCGATTCTGTGGATCCCTGTATTGTTATATTGATAGAGTCAATCATTGACTGTAAGCATTGATTGTCAATGCTCGTTGGTCAGATGAGTTTAAAGGCGTTACGCTTTGAGGGTTGTAGAAGCCGAGCTGTCGAGACGGAAAAAGCTGCCAAGCCTTTAGTATTTCCCGAGACTAATCTGGATCAAAGAACTGGTAGAAGACACCTTGTGGGGTTTTGCAGTAGATTGTATTTTGTGTCAGAAGAAGCGAGGAGACGATTGAAAAGGAGATTAGATACTTTCGCACATTCGTTTATCCGTGATGGTGTTGTTATTCGACAGACGGCGTCCATGAGCTGATCGGTGTTGTCATGATGATGTTGTAGTTTTAGTCCTGTCAATTTCATATCGATCACTTGAGTGTTGACGACTTCAGGATTGGATGGGTTCATGAGCGTCTTTGATTCTGTGGATAACCTTGTGATAAAAAACAGCTTTAGGGGCAATGAGCAATGGACAACAAGGAGTTAACGAGTGGTTCTGAGCTCATGATCAACACAGTCATTATAAAGTATATGATAGGCTAGCCGAACGACAAGAATCATAAGGGTCACAGCATTAGGGCAGGCACTTGTAGAGCACAATAACTTGGCACTTGCAGCAGTAGAGGCGAATAAAGAACACGTCAGATTCAAATATGACTGACCATCAGTCACTGACGGGGTTCCCTACAGCTGAGTCGAGTTTGTTGGTAGCAGCTTGCCACGATGCTGATGACATATTCGTGTGAACCTTTTGTATAAGTCTACGACTACAGCATTTCCGGTGCAAGTTTCATATGTGTCTAACTTCCATGTTCATGGTCAATTCGATTGACTCGATCGTGCTTGTAACATTTTCAAACTCGCATGGGCAATGGTGTGATAGGCTTGCAATGTGGAATCGTTATAGGCAGTCCTCGGAGACTTCATGATGAATACAGTTTATTGGACAGCTTCCTTTGTGATGAGAGTATCCCTAGGTTACGCTGCGAGATCGGGCGCAGCGATAAGCTCGCTTTTACAGCCTGATGAGCCTGGAGTACGTTACAGGGGAGAGAGGGTCTTTCTAACAGTACTCGTTTTCAACTAGCGTTCTGGACAGACACGAGCTGAAGTTGTGAATCGGGACTATGGAACAATTTCGGGTTTTAGGAAAAGGGGCCGCCACAGCGCGATGCCTTCAGAGAGAACCTGCAAAGTATTAAAAGAATCAGTGAGGAACGGAAGACCAAGAAAATCAAAGTTGACTTCTCCCCGACTGTTATGTGGTGATCAATTGTTCGACTTCAGGAAGAGGAAATAAAAAGACAAATCCCTTTCAAAATAAAGAGGTTCGCAGAAGTTTCCTCTCGGTTCATGCAAGAGAAAAGAAGTATTGACAAAGTAAGTCTTCTACGATCGTGGCTCAGCTATCGTGATCGGCGTTGTGAGGAGATGTTTTACACTACTGTCTGTCCTAATTCTCAAATACTTATGATATTTGCCGTCCTGGCTATCCTAGAGTACGCTCTATAGTTACTTTAATGATCATAACTTATAATTCACAAGTGAATGACAATTGCGGAGCGAGCGAAGCGAGCGGAACGTATTCTCTCACTTCACGATAACTTTGTGGGTGCGTGCGTGCGTTTGTGCGTGCGTGCGTAATACCGTATTGCATACGCGCTGCGTATGCAATAGCAGCTGCTCCGAAAACCGCCGAAAATTAGTTGCGTTAGAAATGACGTCCGTGGGGATCGAACCTGCGTCATCCATTTTCGGCGTGCAAGTCGATCGAGTCAATCGTTCTTGCGCGAATGACGCGAGGTCCGCCCCTTCTCCGGGAAGGCCTCGCTCGTTAATGACTCTTGTTTAGTCGTCCGACCCCAACAGGTGTGTAATGCAAGAGGAATAGGCTTATCTTATAGTATACTGAATAGCCGAAAGGACCATGTGTTGGCTTGTGTTGGTCTCGTTGAATCCCGAGTTATGTCATTTTTCATTACTTGCCTATCAAACTCGAACGTACTGTAGCTTATCTGAGTCTAGCTCAGTTGTTGTCATGCAGCGAGTGCCTGGTTTAGATGGGATGATAATTCCTAGTCTACACACTTCTCCTGATTAGACCAAAAGCGATGCTAATGTGCCTCCCACTGGGAAGAGGGAGACAGTTCGTCGCGAAGAAAAGGTAGGGCATGAATCAGATGATTTGCCGTTATGATCTGCTTGTAGGTGAGTGGCAACTGTATGGAAGTCCCACAGGGCGTGCCTAAGGTTCATAAGGAGTTCGGACGCATACCTAGATAGTGAGTGATGCGTTTCCTTCTTACCAAGAGGAGGCGAATCATCGAAACGCCACGCACGCTATGAAAAACCCTAGTCGAAGACAAATGAGCGAAAATTGTGATTGTAACGTTGTACGTTCTCAGCATTACCAGGCGTGATCGAGCACGCTTGCGAGAAATCCTGGCAGAGCAAGAGAAACTCAAAGAGGCGCCTCCTGGGTGAGCCAGCAATTATCAAATTCAACATTCGAATTGTGCAAGGCTCGCACTCAGTCGAATTAGTTCAGTAAAAGGAGCTCCGAAACTCGGTGATTAATTCTCGAGTCTTGCATTTCTTCCCGTGAAGAATCTTCATACTGCGAAACGTAAAGTTATGAAATATATCAGCAATGACAACTTCCAATGAGTGGGAGAATGTCCATCGTTAAAGACTCGGAAATTCAAAGTTGGTCACGAAGTTTTGGAACCCTCTTCATTTATTGAGTGCGGAAAACAACGCGCTCTTCACAGTAGTCGCCCTGTATTTCCGGTGAAGCAACCACGTTGCTTCATTGCATATGACCTGCCCCATCGTCGGTCCCTCAGGTATCGATATATGGGTGAGGATGAGCAGAAGGACGTCCTGAATAATCTGAACAAACGTAGGTTGTAGGATGGTGTTCTGCGAGACTTTTCTCAAAGCCGAATTCGACGAGGAAACCACTTGATGATAATTATATGAGTTCGCGATGAGCTGCTCACCGCGGAAGTCGGGCAAGTTTCCTTCGTACGGGAACTTTGCACTTGACCTTTGTATTGAATCGAAGGGCGGTTGTCGAAAGTCAGCGTACTGTTTGAGGTGTTTACGTCAAAATCGGTTCGTACCTATAGAGATATACAAGATGCTTCGAAACGCTCTCAACTGTTGTAGCCTAAAACTTGTAGGGAAGACCGAGCTAGAGAAAGAGTACCTCGGTCTCCCACTGCGTATTGAACGCGAACGGCAACGGGAAAGACAGAGAACGATCGAGGCAAGCATTGCGGAAATCGATGCTGCTATAAGAAAGTTCAGCGAGGCGGATGTAAGTTGATCCGGTGTGCCCGGCGGCCGCGGCTGAAGATACTCGCATGCTCAGATTCTAATTAAATTAGACGAGTGAACCTCGACCGAAGCTGGTATGATGAGTGTTGATCGCATTGCTCGTGTCGTTCATGTAAACCCTACTTTTGCGTGGATAGTTGTGTAGGACAGCTTTTCCCTACACTTGCGGTGTATAGTAGCTCTTCGGTATTCCTGGTTGAAATTGACAGAAACTAGAAGCTCTGTACTGGTGCGTGATTTCCAGCGGATTCTTAGGTCATTGTGGAGCCCTCATCCTGGGAATTGTAGAAATCCTTGATCAACGGGTGATTTCCCTACATCACAGAGCTCTCAAAGCCTTTCTATGGGAGATCGAACTAGAAGGAAATGAGTCATCTCGAGGAGGGCATCATATCGCTGAACATGTAGGAGAGCTTCAAGCTCCTCAAGCTTCAAACGTAAGTTGCGGATTCGAATCGCTCTGCCGCTTTGAAATTGGCTACCGCACCGCCCAACGGGCGAATTGAGCTCTCAGACAGAGGCACTTGCATGCAACTTTCACACAGTCACGCCTCTTCAAGTGCCGACCTTGAAGCCTGAGATTACTATTTCACAGGTATGTCAGTTGGAGACTTTCCTCGAGGGTGCTCATTCTTCGAGAGTTCCGACGAGGGGATTCGTCTTGTCGAGTCCAAAAAGCCAGTGGTAGAAGATTTGCCATCGGACTTCGACGCCAGTCAAAAGTTTAACTATTGCCTTGATGCCATAGGCACGGGAGCGCCCGTGCTTTCACGATTTACAAGAATAAGCGGCGCCGGGCGAGCGATAAATTACCTTGACTATTCACGGTTTCCCTTGAAAATCTAAATTTACCCGAGTTTTTAGCCATACAAAGCTCTGCCTACGATCTCGCTGACTCGCGCTTGGAACAGTGAGGGAGCGAAGTAAGCGAACGAGCTCCGTAGAACGCTCAGAAAGACAAAGGACCACGGAGGCTCACCCCAAGCATACGTGCGCACACGCACACGCGCACGCATCCAATGCTCATCGGTCCAATCGGCCATCTTAAGCGTAATTGTTGCTTGCGTGACCTACAAAGTCAGAATGGGACCTAACTCCACTAGTCGTTTCGATAAGAGATAGACCAACTATACGCCGCAAGGGGCATGAAAATGGTTTCTATCCGGAGAGAATCTAATTGCAGGATACCGTAGCCGAAGACTACTAGCCATTTGCAATTCGGTCATGACATCAGGTTCATGCAAAATGATTGGTCATCCCTTGACCATCTCGCTATGTTTCCTAATCCTTGTAGTTTGGGGCGACGACGTGAATCCCCGAGCCCTATTCGATCATATTATGAAGAATTTCGGTGGGATTACTTGACGTGTTCTGGCCTCAAAGCTGTCCTCTTGTCAGGGTCTGTCTATACTCCCGACGAAGATGAGCAGCATTTTCACCGTTTCACAAATCAGGTGGAAGAGGAACTTCTGCAGACAGGCACATCGCCTGAGCGCTTGGTTGAAATCTTCAACGACACCAAGCCGGTCTTACTGCAATCCGTAGTTGATACTATCAACTCGATGCAGGATTCATGGACTGCTTCAAAGGATCAGCCGCGTTTCAAGGGTATGTCACAGATCCAGACCTTCAGTCACACCGCTTCAAGTGACAAACTTCAAGCCTGAGATTACTGTTTCGCAGGTATGTCAGTCCAAGACCTTCCTCGAGGGTGCTCCTTCTCCGAGAGTCCCGACGAGGGGATTCGTCTTGTCGAGTCGACCAGGCCAGTGGTAGATGATTTGCCACCGGAATTTAACGCCAGTCAAAAGTTCAGCTATTGCCATCATGTCATCGGCCATGTGAGGTGGTCTTCGTTGTTGCTTCCACGGTCACTTCCTGATAAGGATGTATCGCTCAGAGATCAAGGAAGGTGTGGTAACTGTTGGGCAGTATGCCCCACTGAAGTTTTAAATGATCGCCTATGTATCAAGTCCAGGGGCAAAATCAAGGAGATTCTATCCGCTGGTTACGTCACTTCTTGCTGCAATCGCGCACATGGATGTCTCGAGTAAATTCCAACCACGAATAATGGCTACTCGGCATCGCTTGTTTCTTTCAGTCGACTGTTCCTATCGCTTGTTTTCATGTGACTGAGAATTGAGACATATCTTGTTTTCAGTTCGAATGGTTGCTATGGTGGGACATATGTTGAAGCCATGAGTTTTTTGAAAGACTATGGCGTCGTGACTGGTAGGAATCTCTACTGTAGATCAACTGATCCGTGAACATCAATCCTAACCCTTGAAGGTAATGACTTCAAGCCACAGGGTCAACTGAGTGAGGCTGATGGTTGCTGGCCGTATCCGTTCCAGAAGTGCAACCATGTACCAACGGAAAAAACTGAATACCCAAAATGCAAGGATGTGAGTCAATCACAGGATCTCGTATGATAAATTCTCTGGCCGTAGGCGGCTCATCCGCCTCTCCCTCCATGTCGGACAACGTGCACCAACAAGGCATACAAGAGGAGCTTAAAGAAGTGAGAGGAACTCAGATGGGGAACTGATATTCATTTCGACGTCAGAGATGTTCACCGAGCGAAAGGCTGGAGGAAAGTGTTAAATAATGCTCAGAGCGTCAAGCAGGAGATATTCGATAACGGCCCAGTAAGCTGCTCAGTCCATGTACTTTGACTCGGGAATGGAAACTTCTCAAAAGTTTTGAGTCAAAACTCCTGTGAACCTTTCTTGTGAAGTTTGAGCATATTCCTATCAATTGGTAGAACTCCTACCGTAGGAGGGATTCATCCTCATTCATGTGATCTCAAGAATGATGTACCCTGCATTAAGTCTCGATTGCGTAGGATCTTTCTTGGATGAATAGCCCGAGCCCACGTTCAGACGAATTCGGACTCGAGTTGAGTCATTCAACGAGTTGTTGCAAGTATGATGCGTTTACGATGCAATGCATCGGATGCATGCACGGAGCGATGTTATGTTTGGACCATTTTGCCGTTTCAGGTCTTCAGCGCCTTCAAGATGTACGAAGATTTCAGATATTACAAGTCTGGAGTTTACGTGCCAACGACCGAGGAATTCCACTCCTTTCATTTAATCAAAATTATTGGTTGGGGAGTCCATCCCGGTGGAGAATATTGGTGGGCGGTCAATTCGTGGAGCGCAGAGTGGGGAGATCGTGGACTAATAAAGATGGCATTTGCGCAGAATCGTTTGGAAGAAACAGCACTTTACATAGAGCCAGATATGTGATCAGTGGATCGTTCAGTTCGTATCTTCAAATTTTTCCGCTCGTATCTCATTCAGTTCAGAATCGTCGAATCTATTATTATCTGCTTCGATTCTCAAGGCAGATGAGCTTGAGCTACACTAAATCAGACGACGCTAATGGTGCGAAGCTAGCTGGATGTTTCGCAATATACCGTTGGGATTTCATTCGATTCGGATGTCTTCTTCCTTCTTTACTTCGCCCTTCATGTTTTGTTTCACAATTCGGAATCGTCAGTCCTGACAATTCCGGTTGGAATTTTCAGTTGGAAGATGCGGTTTGGACTTGGTACGCGAGGTCCTACAGCCACTGCAATCACTGACTTTCGTCATCCACCGGCGCTGAACGAGCTAACGCTGAAAAAATCAATATACAATTTGTATAATACAAAAGAGGTCGCTCGCGCTATTCTGGCGAAGCGGTGGCGAAGTGGCTACGTGTGATGTCCGACTCCACATGCTCTTGCGGGAGTTCCCCCATGCGCACCTCTTCGAGCACCGAACACGATGATGAGGGCGATGACATCGCGGAAATAACGACTGCGAGATGCCACTAGTATAAACTAATGCACCGTGAACGGATCTCTATTGTCTGTGCGAATGCATCGATATAGCCCATAGGACGGCGCTGAACGCTCGGGCCGCTCGGTCTGTCTGTCAGTCCAAAGAGGAAAAACCAACAACCGTCAAACTCGAGATCCGGACGATCTGAGCCATAATTGGTCCTGAAATATCTGACTTCTCGTGACGGAGCAAACCCGAGGACGTGGCTGTCCGACGGGTGTGAGGTTACTCATTCTAGAGTTGAGAGTCCGACCAACCTGAGCTCATTAATGAATCGTTCATCATGAATCTTATATTTTCGGCGTCGGGCATCAGCCGGTGATCATCAGCGCAGCACCCCACGGAACTGCTCTGATCCCGTGATCGTCCCGGTTCGGATTCCACTGTAGGTGATCAACCCCCCTTA